TTTGATAGAATTTGAATGTTGTTTGTTACACGAATGGAGGGAATGATCAGTGCGTTTGGTATTATCTTTGAGAGAGGTTTGGACGGAAATTGGTCAGTATTTACATAAATCAACTCTAGAATGTCAACAAGTAAAAAAACATTAAGTTCGGCCGGGCCAAACTTTTAATACCCTCCACCTTAGGGTAAAATAAACATTAGAAGAAATGTGGCAAAAACCATTAAAATGCCGATTATGGGGAGGTACCGTAATATGGGGGCTACACCAAAACGTGGACCTATAATTACAATGTTTCGCCACACGAACTAGGACCCATTATGGCCCACAAATACCAATTTTTAGACAAATCAGTGAAAAAATGTGGCAAAAACTATCAAAATACCGAATATCGGGAGGTACCTTTATATGGGGGCTATATCAAATAATGGGCCCATGCATGCAATGTTTCGCCACCGAAGCTGGAACCAATTATGACCAACAAATACCAAATTTCAGACAAATCCGTGAAAAAAATGTGGTAAAAATCATCAAAATACCGAATATCGGAAGGTACCGTTATATGGGGGCTATACCAAATTTTGGACCCTTACATGCAATGTTTTGTGTGGCAAGGGACCTGCTATGACCTACAAATACCAATTTTAAGACAAATCCGTGAAAAAACGTGGCATAAATCATCAAAATACCGAATATCGGAAGGTACCGTTATATGGGGACTATACCAGAACGTGGACCGACATATCTCATTTTCAATACCAACCATCCTAGACACAATGCAAATAGCTCTGCTAAATTTTGGAGCTCAAATAATGTGGGCTGTATCGTGATTTCAACAGACAGACAGACGGACAGACAGACAGACGGACAGACAGACAGACGGACATCGTTACAAACGGAATGACAAAGTTAATATACCCTCCTTTCCAAGGTGGAGGGTATAAAAAACGAAATGGTTAGTTAAACGTAAAGGCAAGCGAAAGCGTAACAGTGTTGTTATTTGGGATACCGTAATCATTTTGCTGTTGCAAAATATTATCCCACGAATGTGGTTTATTTATAAATGGGGAAATATGATACCAGGGAGTAAAAATTAAAATTTTTTTGACTCTCAGTTTTAATTTTTTTTGTAATAGTTGTTGTTATTGCTATTTACAACTATAAAAAGGATTATTTATTAATTGTCATGCGATCACCAATCAACCATTTAAAATTATAATAATAACTTATCAACTAAAAATAGCTTTGGACAAAGTGTGTGAGAAATAAGAAGTAGAAGGAGGACACACGTCTGTGGCGTCTGGCCCGATGAGATTGCCTTCCACGCTCGATTAAATGGAAGTGTTTACATTTTCCGCTTCTTTTGTTGTATTTTCTTTTAATAAATCTTATTTACAGTTGTGGTGTTTACCCCGTGATGATAGACAACAATGCCAATGGTCTGCTTCTTTTTGATGGAAAGCTTCCGAAGTAAACAAGACATTTTAAAGGTTAATGCATTTCAGATGAATTATTTTAAAGATGTTGGAAAAGATTTCGACTTTGATTCTTTTTCTTGACCAAAATAACAGAATTAAATTGGGATTTAAAAAATGAGTTTCACTTTGAAAATATATAGAGGTGTTATGGAAAATTCCTGTTTTAGTTTACTTTGCAAATGAAACGATCTATCGCTGGGAAAAATGCTCCCACTACAGCCGAACTATGGCCCTATAAAAATTGGATTTTTCCGATTTCTTTATATTCTTTGAACCAATCAGACATCAACAGATGTAAACAAGCCAAACCTCTACATTATCTCTTATACCTTATCTCTTATAATTCTTGGCAAAAAAGAAGAGCAGCGTTGCCATATGTTTACTAAAAATATGGTAATTGCAATATTGGTCGCATTTTTAGAAAAAAAATTTTTTTTTTTTCCTTTGAGAATAAAATATTGAACTGGGACTAAATTTAGGTAGCAAAAAGTAGCAGTACTAAACTATTAATTTTTTACAAACATCGTGGCAACTGCTTACAGAACAACATCCCAACCCCTTATTTTAACAGGGACAAACTGCCGCCAAGTGCTAATAGATAAGTTTACAAAAGAAGACGTTATATATATTTTTTAAAGAAAAAAATCTTGAAATTTTGGACGAGAGTCAGTCTTGGTGCCTAGCCTAAGGCTAGGGTTTTGCAAATTCGTACTACAAGGGTACGATAAATACTAAAAAGTTTTAGTACTTTGAATAGTTTGTATTGGACAAACCGAATGAGTTCGAATTTGAGGAATGAAATATGGTATGAGAGTCACCGATGGACTGCAGAATAGACGTACTAAAGGATTCTTGAAAATTAGAACCTCAAGGTTACAAATAGTTCTAAAATGGTACTAAATTTCTAAAATTGTACCATTTGGTATTATGTGAATGGATAGAGCTAAAATCTCATCACATGCCATTTGGTAGGAGAATAAAGGTTGGAATGTAAGTTTGATATATGAAGGTGGTTTTAGAAATGAGTACTAGTGTGCCCTGCACTAAATGGTACTAAATTTGAAACACTTTGGGTCCCTGTTGTTGGTAGATTTATGATAAAGAGGTGGTTCTGGAAATGTGTACAACAAGTGCATGAAAAGTATTAAATAGTACAAAATTTGTGCATGAGGTCTAAAATTTGGTATTAGGGACGTTGTTCATTTGTAGCCTAGACATATGGAGGTTATTTCGGAAATGTGTACTATAATTGTAGGAAAAGTACTAAACTTGGTAATGGGTTCAAAGACCTTAAATGGTAAAGACTAGACAAAATGCATTCTGAGCAAATGGTTTGTGTCTATACTGTCTGGGTAACAGCTTATGGCAGGACCATGTTAATATAAAAAAATATATTTATAGAAAAAAATGACAAACAAAAGTTTGAAAAATCCAAAAATTGGGTTTCAAAATTCTATTCCATAGACTTTCCAAATTAATTGCATATTGCCTAAGCGGTTTAAATCGCATAACATTTCTAACTATGTTGTTACGATATCATAACAACAGAGGTATTTTCACAGGGTTGCCATATCTTGACTCTGTCTTGTCCCATCTTTATACTTCTATGTCTTTGATGGGTTAAGGGATAGAGATGCAATTCTGAAATTTGATATTTAGATTGCCCATGCTAACTTTTTTTGAGACTTGGAGGTAGGTTTGGAAGTGCGTCCTATAGTTGTACGAAAAATACTAAATGGTACTAAGTTTGGTATTGGGTGCAGGGATAGAGCGGGAATCCTAAAATTTGATATTTATGTATGTGTTAGTATCGGGGTTTGAGATATTGAGATGGTTTTGGAAATGTGTAATATAATTGTACGAAAAGTACTAAATGGTACTAAACTTGGTATTTCGTGAAGGGATAGAGATTAAATTCTGAAATTTAATATTTAGATTACTCATGGTAACTGCGTTTGAGATTTGGCGGCATATATGAAAATGTGTCCTATATTAGTACGAAAAGTACTAAATAGTACTAAATTTAGTATTGGGTGCAGGGATAGAGCGGGAATCCTCACATTTTATATTGAGGTCGGTGTGGGTATCTGGGATTGAAATATTGAGGTGGTTTTGAAAATGTGTACCACAATTGTACGAAAAGTACTGAATGGTACTATATTTTGTATTGGGTGAAGGGATAGAGATACAATTCTCAAATTTGATTTTAAGATTACTGATGATACCTGGAATTGAGATTAGGCGATGGATTGGAAACACGAACTATAATTGTACGAAAAGTACTAAATTTTGAATTGGGTGAAGGGATAGGACTGGAATCCCCAATTTTGATATTGAGGTCTGCGCTGGTATCTGGTATTGAGATATTGAAATGGTTTTGGAAATGTGTCCAATAGGAAAATGAAACAATGTACGAATAGAACTAAGAGGTACTAAATTGTGTATTGGGTGGAGGGATAGAGCTGGAATCCCGAAATTTGATACTGAGGTTTCGGTTAGTATCTGAAAGAAGGATGTTTGGTAATACGTCCTATATTTGTACGAAAATTACTAAATGGTACTAAATTTGATATTGGTGTCTGTGATTAAGATATGAAGGTGGTTTTGGAAACGTGTACTATAATTGTTCGAAAAATACCAAGTGGTACTAAATTTGGTATTGGCTGAAGAGATACAGATAAAATTTTGAAATTTGATATTTAGATTACTGATGATATATCTGTTTGAGATTTGACCGTGGTTTAAAAAATATGTACTATAATTGTACGAAAAGTACTAAATAGTACTAAATTTAGTATTCAGTAAAAGAATAGAGCTGAAACCGTGACATTTCACAGTGGGACTACTGTTGGTGTCTACGATTGAGATATGGGACGGCTATGTGAATGAGTGCTAAAATACGAATTTAGTACGAAAAGTACTAAATATTACTAAATTTGGTATTGTATATAAATATTACTAAATTTGGTATTGTATATGCGTACTAAATGTTACTAAAGTTGATATTGGGTGAAGAGAGAGCTAAGAGTTTTAAATTTGATATTGAGGACACTGTTGGTTTCTAGAGTTTACATATGGAGTCATTGAAATAGTTTTGGATGGAAAAATTCGATGTGGGTCCATTGTGCAAGGATTTTGCAAACATCCTCCTCCGTACACTTCAAAATTAAAGATTTTGAAGACTTTTCGGTGTAAGGGCAGTAATTGTGTCATTGTTAGTAATGGAGAAAGAGAGAGAGCTATATTGACTGAGGTAAACTCTTTTGATCCATAATAAATGACAGATTGACAAGGACTCAAAAAAAAAAAACAGAGAATGACGAATAATACAAAGACAATCTCTGGTGTTATAAACCCAACTAAGATCTGAATTTGAGACCGAATATTTGAGCACTCACATTTGGTAGAAAAAAAAAACCCCTTCATAAACTCTGGCAACTCTTCAATTAATCACATCGCTGGACTTCGTTTCAAAATCATTTCAATTCACTCCAGCTATTATAAACTCTGGATTTGCGAAACAGATTTCATTTTGTTTGAAACTTTCGAAAAATGAACAACGTATTTGATCGAATCAATGAGTTTTAACTGAGCTCATGATCTGATTTATTTTTGTAACGAAACGCAACGAAAAATTGTGACACGAACAACAACAACCACAAAGCAAATTACAAAAATTCTAAAACAGATCCGGCGGCAGTTTTAATTTCAACAACAACAACAGCTACAACGAAAATGCAAACAAAAAATTAAATAGAAATTTAAGTGAAAACCATCTGTGATTAACAAAAGTACCTTAAAAAAAAGAGTGGAAACACAAACACACACATACACCTCATACTCAAACTATTTTTTAAAAAGAAACGACTTAATTATTTATGTAGATTAAGGAGACAAAGAAATCAGTAATTTGTGCTTACGAACGAACAAAAAAAATAAATAAATCAATTATAAATTTAAAAGCTGCACTTTTTCAAAATCAGAAAAAGAAAATTAAAGTGCCAAAATAGATTTTATATTTGTGGATACGACATACAAACGAACATAAGGTGAGTGGAAGGAGATTATCAAGCACCCTCATACATATTGATTAGGAATATTTTTTTGAGAAACGAATTGACTTTGCCGACAGCTAAGGGTTTAGAAAGTGTAGTGGTTTCAGCAAAAAACGAAAAGTATAAATTCGAATAATTGTATTTTTGTAGAATATTTGTCATTTGTCAACTGCAGCTTCGGACAAAAGTCTGCTACAAAAAAAAATTAATTTGTCATTGTTACCTTGAATTAATTTTTGAATTGAGTTGATATATTGATATTGATAGCATTCATTGTTTTTGTTCTATATTAAGTATTTTTTCACTTGTAATTGGTATTTTTATATGACTGTAAATTACATTAGCTTTCCAATGAATATCCTCTTCAAAAATTCTAATAAGCTGATCTGTCCGCCAAGTTATATCTCGAGGTCCAAAAATTGAATGGTCTACCGATTTGACTGTTCACGGCATACATATAAAAAGCAAAAAAAGAGTGTTCAATTACTTGACTCATGGTAGAAGAAAACAGGTAAAGGCATAAACACTTGGGAACATGGGATATGTCAAAACTTTTAATTTTTTTTTTTTTTTTTCAAATATAAGTAGATTTGAATTTTGCATTCAAAATTCCAAAATTGGTATGACAGTTCATTGTTCCAGCAGCTGTCTCTCTGGTTATCCAATTTGCAACACAAAAGTGCTGCAAGAGATTGCGATTCGAGAGAAAAAATTTGCCAGTATTTTTACTGAGAGTTTGCTAAATTCTTGCCGGACATATTTCTTGTTGTAATTACTTTCGACTCTCCCTATTGAGTTTTGAATATCAAAGTGTAGGGGAAAATACGATCTTAAAATTTTAGATTCGTTACAACAGTTAGTGTTAGACCTATTTAGTACTCAAAATTCGTAATTTTTTTAATTTCACATTTTTTTAATCTAAACTGCATATATCGCAATACATTTTCAGACTTTCAAGGTTTTATATTTTATTTAAGTTTTTCCTTTTTCGGAAAGAATAATAGAAAAATGTTTACCTTTTACACCAAAAAGACTTCAAAATCTTTAATTGTGAAGGTTAGCGAGGAGGATATTAACAAAACCATTGCAACATGGACCCCTTCCAATTTTTTCCAAAACTATTTCAACGTCTCCATGTGTAATTCCTGGAAACCAACAGTGACCTTAATATCAAATTTCAGAATTACAGCTCTATATCTTTACCCAATACCAAATTTAGTACCATATTGTGTGGTATTTTTGTATGGCATATTCAAAACAAAATACATCTATCCATCCTAGACACCAACAGTGATCAAAAATTAGTATCATTTAGCACTTTTCGTGCAATTATAGTACACAATTCCAAAACCACCTTCATATCTCAATACCAGATACTAACGGAGATCTCAATATCAAATTTGAATGCACCAGCTCGGATTTGAAGCACCATCTGTTCACTTTTCGTGCACACCTTTCCGTGTACACCTTTCCAGAACCACCTCTTTATCAAAAACCCATCCACAACAGGGACCCTAATACAAAATTTCAAAATTCTTGCCTCATCAGCTCATCCTAAACCAACCTGTTGCAAAGTTACTACCATTTAGTACAGTTAACACACTTAATACACATTTCCAAAACCACCTTCATATATCAAACTTATTTTCCAACCTTGATTCTCATAATTTCAAATTTTTAACTCTATACGCTCATATAATACCAAATGGTACCGTTTTAGAAGTTTAGTATCATTTTAGAACTTTTCGTAGCCTTAAAGTTCAATTTCCAAAAAAAGAATTTTGGTACATCTGTCCTGCACTTCATCAGTGACTCTTATTCCAAATTTCAGAATTGTACAATAAAAGTATTCATTTTTTAGCGCATTTTATACTTGTCATACCTTTTTAGTACGAATTCCCACTAATCCAGTCTTATCCCATATGCGTAGGCACCAATAATGACCCTCGTGCAAAATTTCAAGATTCTAAATTCCGCCGTTTCGCCAGGGAGTTGATTCTCAATCAGTCAGTTATTTCACTACTCTTTTATATTTTTATATAAAAACTTTTATATAATTATAGTACAAATTTGGGAAAAACCATATGCTCCCAATCACATATCAGTATTACAAAAGTAATACTCATTTCCTCACTTTTTTCACTAAACACATTTTCCACAATTTCCGCGTAGGCAGCTAAATTTTAAAAACATATTTTACATATACATATATAAATCTCTTTATTTAATTTTGTTTCCTAAACTAGATATAATTTCCTAATTCCTGCTCAGCTTCACATACGTGACTTTCAAAATCCATTCATAATGTAAACAATATAAACTTTTTCCCTAATTCGACCATCATAAGGATTATAATGGGGATAGTTGAATTAGGAATCATCACAAAAAATACGTCAAATCTTTCTGTCCGCAAAATGTCATCGCTTGGCTCAAACTATTTAAGTGGGATTAAAACTGAAAGAATACCAAAGTCACCAAACGGGCCATCAAACAGACAAACTGAAAAGATGACAGCAATAATTTCCAAGTAAATGAATTGCCGATGAACCAGCAGCCAGTCAGCCATTCATTGACTTCAAATAAAAAGTTGTTGGCTATCTTTGGAACACGGCGGAGGCCAACAACATGTGTTTGCAACATCCATTTAATTGTTGTACAAATATTTTATTTATTTTCTTATTTATTTGTGTATGTCCAACATGCCGATGACAGACAGACAGACAGACGGACAGACAGGTTAACAGGTAATCCTGCCCCACTAAATTGTCTGATTGTTTTGTTTCATTTCTTTGTTTGCTTTCTATTCTTGTCAGAACTTTTGACCTCATGTGTTGTTGTTCTTTTTGTTGGCACAACATCACAAAGTCAATAGACACAGACGTGATGGGAATTTGCAAAAACATTTCGAATGACCAACAACCAACCAACCAAACAAACGGAACTTCAGCAGCCCAGTTATGAGTATCCATTTCACCTGTGATATTTATATGATTGGTGTAACGTTTAAATGACTTGTGTTCTTTTTTTGTATTTGATACACTTTGCAAAATTTAATAATTTTTAACAAAAAGTAGAAATGCTAAAAAATTAAACTTGCCAATACAACAGGTGTATAAGGTATAAATTAAACAAATAAAATAGTATCAGTAGTTTTTGCCAACAGATGTATACCCCCAGCTTTGAGTTGTAATTATTTCAACTCTTGACCCTTTATTCCAAAGCATTTGGCCAATATTGTCCAATTCGTATCTGACCTAAGACTGATTTAAATATTACAACGTGCCATATTTGGACTATATCGACTACTTCTTATACTTTACATGAGATATGTACATATACAGAGAAAAATATTGGTACGTGCAAAATTTAAATGAAATCGAACATTTCTATCCAATTTTATACCCAATCATAGATTCCAATTAATTACATATTAAAATCAGTAAATCAATCATAAATTCCAAATAATTACATATTCATATCAGATTTCTGGCTAACGGAAATATGACAGTTATAAGTGTTGGAAATTGCCACCCTTTAAGGTTGAAGTACCTAAACGGGTCAGCAGATATCTATCATCTTCACAACAGATTTTGCTTAGATTAGAAGAGAGTGGGATGCTTATTTAGCGTTCCAAAAAATAATGGCATGTGTGAAATTTGAAGAGAGCTTTATGCTTATTTCGGATTTTATGAACGTTTTGGTTATTCAAAATGTTGACTATTTGTGGGGAGGTACCAGTAGAAATGGTCTGATCTCTACCATCTTTTTAGCAGATCTTATCTTGATGGATATTTTGAGATATTCCAAGCCTAATTGGAATCGGATGTTCCTTTCGCGTTTTATGCTCTTCATAGTTTTGAAAAATGTTGACCCTTTGTAGGGGAGGTACCAGAAGGAGTAGACCGATACATACCATCTTCACACCAGACCTTGGGGTAATAAAAATATTGTTATATGTCTAATTTGGGAATGAATGCTTTTTCAGATGTTATGATCATTTTGTTTATTCGAAACATTGAACCTTTGTGGGAGAGGTAACAGAAGAAATGGTCCGACCTCTAGGAATATTCAGATGTGCCAAGTCTTAATGGAATCAGATGTTAATTTCACATCTTATGAGCTTCAAAAACACTCAAAATGTTGATACCTGGTGTGAGAGGTACCAGAAGGAGTGGACCGATATATTCATTCTTCACACAAGACATTGGGACAATTAAAAAATTGTGATGTGTATAATTTGAAGAGAACCGGATGCTGATTTCGGATTTTATAATCGTTTTGGTTATTCAAAACGTTGACCAGAAGAGGTACCTCTTTATAACAGATCTTGTCTTAATGGAAATATTGAGACGTATCAATGGCATTGGATGTTAATTTCGTGTTTTATGAATATTCAAAATGTTGACCTCTGGCGTGGGAGGTATCAGAAGGAGCGGACCGATATATTGGAGTTGGAGTAAAATCGGATAATCCGTACATTCTCTGTGCAGTTAAATTTTTTTTTTTTTGAAAATTTCGTGGGGAAGTTACGAGAAGGAGTGGACCTTCTAGAGTTATCGTTCGTACCAGCCAGAGGGACGGCTAGATCGACTCCAATTGTCCTAAAACGGATTTGGCCCAAAGAGGCCTAGGGTCTAAGACCGTTATTTCGATGAGGCACGATTTGGCCGTATCAAAAGCCATATGGTTGAGGGTATAAAAATTAAAAGCTGTTTGCAAGAATAGGTTTTAATTTCAGTAGTTCCAATGTAGAACGCGTTGCGATATGTGTTTCCTATTTTTTTTTCTCAGTGTACATAACATCAAATTTAATAAATTTCTTATAAATGTGTAAGATCCCTAATCATTTCATGTGCGTGGGAAAAGCTGGGTCATTTCTGATATTTAAGCTGAAGTCATTCGTGTCCAGTTTAACTTGTCATTTGGCAAAAAAATATTGTGTATAAAATCTGAAAAACAAGAATGGGCCATCCACAATTCTTTTGTTTTGTTTTAAAATAAATAAACTCTCTCCCTCTCTCTTCTATTGTTCTTCTTACAACTCCAGTTAATAGTGACCTTTGTTACAACAAGACGAAAGCTTTTCATCAGAACTGTATTGAGGTTAGGTTTTCAGAAAATAAAAATGAAGGTTTTTTGTATTGTAGTATTGATCATTTGTAAATAAAACCAAAACAAACAAAAGAAAACGATACTAGTTTTAAGGGACAGATGAATTTTTCTTTGAAACCTGTTTTTAGAGATTTTTTCTTAAAAAAAAGGAAATTTATTGTCGTAAAAACTAAAGAACTTGGCCAGATCCCGTCCACAGATGATTAATAGTCAGTCGATTACTATTATTATTATTATACCCTCCACCATAGTATGGAGGGTATATTAAGCTTGTCATTCCGTTTGTAACACCTCGAAATATACATTTTAGACCCCGCAAAGTATATATATTCTTGATCAGCATAAAATTCTATATCGATTTAGCAATGTCCGTCCGTCTGTCCATCTATCCATCTGTGGAAATCACTCTAGCTTCCGAACGAAATGAAGTAAGTTGATAGAAATTTACTCAAATGTGTATTATGTCTGCAGGACTTTTGGATTGAAAATGTAGGTCCACGTCTTCGTATAGCCCCCATATAACAATACACCTGATATTCGGTATTTTGATGATTTTAGCGACATTATTAACCGGAATTATTTCAAATTTGGTGTTTAAAGTTCGTAATGGATACTACAGCCTATGGCAGATAATTGTCATGGTACCTCCCTATATTCGGTATTTTGATGATTTTAGCTTCATTATAAACAAATTTTTTGTCAAGTTTCGCATTTGAATATTGTAATAGCTTGTGACCAAAGTTGCCTATGCAGGTTCACGACGTCGCATAGACCCTAATATACGGCTACTTTCGGTATTTTTAAGATTTTAACAGAATTTTTTAACGGTTTTTTTTTTTGTTTTTTGAAAAATTCTAAATTTGTACCAAATGGTGGAGGGTATTCAAAGTTCGTCCCGGTCGAACTTACAGCTTTTTACTTGTTTTTATTATAATTTCCTTACTAACACACTTTCTCATTGTGATGTTTATCTCTTTGTATTTTTCAGATCCTTGTAAACATGAAACTCTCAATATCCTTCTTCCTGGTTGTTATTTGTACCATGTGTTTGGCCGCACAACAAAGTCAGGCTAAGAGTAAGTATCACAAATCCCTCAAAGCATCTTCTTCTTATGTGTGCAACGACGAAAAATAGTTATTATGCCACTAATGTATCCAAAGTTAAGTAAGGAGAGAAATCGAGGAGGATTATTCTTCCACAAGTCGAAAACAACATTTGTTGCGGTTAAGAATAAGGAGATTCTAAACTGCCAACTTCTTTTTAACATAAAATCGAATTCCAAAAATAAAATTTTTGAAATGTCTACGCTGTAGATCCACTAAATTAATCCAATATTGGTATATATTTTTTCTTATTGTACGCCTAATAAAAATTAAAACAAAAAAATAAATAAATAAACATCTTACCTTTAATTCCAATCTTCTCTCAATCTACATTTCTTATGGAGAGCACAATATTATTCCCCCCTCCTTACATCTTTTCGCAAAGAAAAATGCAAGTGAAACCCACACACGGTACGGTCCAGCTGATTTCAATGCAATGAACCCAGAAAATCGCATATCAGGAAAAAAGAAATACGTGCGATCCATGAGTCGACTAGTAGAGAAATATTCACGTTCAGCTCAATGACAGACAGGCACTCAATATTTGTTTTGCATTTTTGCCTTTGCAAAAATCTCTTATCGAAAACCTGTAGGTCTAAAGATCAAGGAGTATCCCAAAAATTATACTGATTCATATGTATGCCAGGGAATACTGGCCAGTCACTGTGAAATCACATGCCAAAACAGTGTTGCCAGTGAATTTTGGGGTCCTTTTGCCCAGAATAGACTTTTTTATCTAAAATTTGCAAAAAGAAAAAAAGAAGACTGAACTTAACAGCAACGAAATTAAGGTCTGGCTTCCGTTTTTGAACTCCAATTTAACCTCGATGAACATATATCGGTTTAAATGTTGTTTTCCCAATGGAGGAGTCGAACTGTGTTCTTTTCTTTTTTATACCCTCAGCCATATGGCTAGAAAAGGTATATAACATTTTATACGGACAAAACGTCGAAACGTCGTAAGTCTACTTGGATCAAATCAGTTTCAGGACAAATCGGTTTTGGATGGCTGGTGCGCAAGATAACTCTCGAAGGACGTATCTGATTTGGTCCAAACTTGGTACATGGTAACATTTTTGTCAAACTTAGATCGAGTTCGGAGATGAGCAATTTCGGTCCACTCCTTCTGGTACATCCCCCACAAAAGGTCGAAATTTTCAAAAAAATATATTTTTTGCACAGAAAGAAAAAGGATAATCCGATTTTGCTCCTAATATTTGCATCAGCGCTATGTAAGGTACGAAAATGGACTCCATCCATCCATCAAGTACCGCCTCCCCCACAAAGGGTCAAAATTTTGAGCAACTACAACTCTTAAAAAATATGATGTCCAATTGTCTTCAAATTACACACATTTTTAATTTAATTGTTATTAACCAAAGGTCGGGTGTGAAGATGGAATACATCGGTTCACTCCTTCTGGTACCTTACCCACAAAGGGTCAACATTTTTAATAACCATGAAGATAGTAAAACGCGAAATAAGTATCCGATTCATTTAAAAAGTTTATACATCGCAATACTTCTACTTAAGCTAAATCTGGTGTAAAGTTGGTAGAGATCAGACAACTACTTCTGGTACTTCCCTTAAAAACCCTCAAAATTTCGAATAATTATAACGTTTTTAAAATATTAACTAAGAGTCCGATTATCTTTAAATTTCGCACATTTCAATATTTCCCCTAACACAAAACTTGGTATGAAGAACGATTTGAACGGACCACTGCTTCTAGTACCTCCCCCACAAATGGTCAAAATTTGGAATAACCATTAAGCACATAAAACGAGAAATGAGCCTCCCATTACTTTTAAACTCGGCACATCCCAATACTTCTAGCATCCCAAGATCTGTTGTGAAAATGGACAATATCGGATTACTCCTTCTGGTACCTAACTCACAACAGGTCAACTTTTTAATTAATTATAAAACGCGAACTTTTCGAAATAAATAATTTAGAGTGAAGCAAGTAGTCGATATAAAATCCAAATCTGATGCCTTTTAATATTTTTATCAGACTTGGCCTACTTCTTCGGAACCTCTCTTATACAGGGTCAACAGTTTGAATAATCATTACACAAGTCAAAATATATTTATATAACCAAACATTGGCTGAGGAATGCAGCTGTCAATTTCTTATTTCAATTTTTTGTTTGTTGTCCTGGCACGGGGATTCGAAGTAGCGACCTCAAATTTCGTAGTAGGACATGCTCTCTATATCTCTCTCTCTCTGTGCCGCTCTTACTCACAGTTTTGAATAGTCATGGGTCTCGTATATAGTCGAGGGGGTTCCCAAGCTATATAGACACTTAGATCAAAATCCATTACAGCACCATCATTTAATTAGAATCAGCAGTCGTATGGAGCTTATCCGTTTTTGATTTAACATGGAATCACCCATATGTCTATTCATGTTATTTCAATGTTGTAATTTATGTTACCGTTACCCACAGTATTTTCATTCCGTGTGCATATTTTAATTCAGAACAAATATCAATTGGTGTGGCTTTTTGCCCTGTTTGCAAGTCATTTCAGTCCGCAACATAAACAAACCAATATTTTTGCTGCATTCATTTGACGTCAATTGTCAACAGAGTGCCGGCATTTATTGTTGCAAAAATAGTTTTTCTAGTTTTTTTTTTTTTTGCATTTCTCTTTGGCTGTGGATGCATTGAACATTTGGCATAATGAAGGTGATGACGTTGTTGCAGGTTTATATGCAGGCGTGAATGTGTGTGTGCATGTGTGTTTGTCTACGTAGGAATAACAAAAAATGTTTGTTATCATTTCCATTCGTTCATTCGCTCGTTCGATAAACAAAATGACTACGCGCTTCCGTTTTATTCTGTTGTTTGTTTTTCGCAAGAAAGAAAAACGTAAACGTAATAAAATTATTAAAATGGAAAACTGTTGGCATCTCAGGAGAAGGAAAACAATGTCGAACAATTGGCACAGCAATAATGTTGCAAGTGTACACATAAGTGTGTGTGTGTCTGTGCAGAATAAGTAGAACACATTCATTGTCGAGTTTCAATTGAATATTAACGTGGGTCAAATCCTGATCATAATTTACAGTTCCTTTCTGAAAAAGGCACACATTACAAATGGCTACGTCTTCGGCCTATACCTCCTCTAATATCCCCCTTATTATGCTGTCATACCTTCAATGGCCCATCATTTCTGTTTCGTATTGATAAACAAACAAGAAGCATGAAAGTAAAGGTTCAACCCATTGTCTGCATTTCATCGCATTGTTCCGATTATTTGGCCCCAAAAAAATCGCAAAAGAAACTCGAAAATGAAATTTCCACTTTTGCAGCATTCATCGCTTCTATTAAATTTTATTTTTGTGATGTCATATTATTTGTGACACGAAATGGGGTTATCAACAACTTTGTAATTCACTCAGAACTTAGAACTTGGCTTTGTGTTTTAACCGTTCATCTATCTTCTCGTTGCTAAGCGTATGATTGTTGTGTGGCGAAACCAGGCATCGCAACACTCATACGTTAGTGTGGACGGGGGTGTGTGTGTTAGTTGATGACATCAAATCGGATCATTGAAATAAAATTTAGTATGTATTATTTTTCTGTTGGATCTCTGGCTGAAAAATAATGTAGCATGAGACTTTTATATTTCGTACAATGACAACACTGGCGCTACATGGACAACAGCCAAAGGAAATCATGAGGATTTTCACTTTATGATAATTTAAACTGTTGACTCTTTATAGGGGAGGTTCCGAATTTAGTTAAATTACATATTTATATCAAATTTCTGGTAAAGAGAAATATTTAGACATAGCAAAATGTAAAGACTTGTTTCACAAGTTATGACATATAAGAGTATCGAAAACTGTGACTCTTTGTGGGTTAGGTACCAGAAGGGGTTCGTGGATATATATCATCTTCAGATGCTGCGTTAGCAAAAATATTTAGATGTGTGAAATTTGAAGAGGGTTGGATGCATATTTCGCTTTCTATGAGCGTTTTGTTTTTCAAAATCTTGAACCCCATGTAAGGGAGGTACCAAAAGGAATGGTCCGATCTCTACCATCTATATAACAGATCGTGTGTTGATGGAAATATTGAGATGTGCCAAGTCTGAATGAAATCGGATGTTAATTTCCTGTTTTATGAGTTTCATGAATATTCAAAAGGTGGATCCCTTTGTGAGGGAGGTACTTGATGGAGTGGACCGATATTTTCCATTTTCGCACCTGACCTAGAACTGATGCAAATATTAGAATTTGCAAAGTTGGAACTAAATCGTATTATCCTGTCTCTTTCTGTGCAGTAAATTATTTTCTTTGAAAATGTTGACATTTTGTGGGGGGGGGGGGGTACCGGAAGGAGTGGACAGATATTATCCATATCCGAACTCGATCTAATTTTGACAATAATATTACGATGTACCAAGTTTGGATCAAATCGGATATTCGCATCGAGAGTTATCGTGCGTACCAGCCAGACAGACGGACGGACGGACATCGCTATATCAACTCCAAATGTCCTGAAACGGATTTGGTCTAAAGAGACCTACAGTCTAAAACCGTTATTTCGATGAGCCACGTTTTGGCCGAATCAAATGATATATACCCTCTGTAGCCATATGGCTAAGGGCATAAAAAGGAGCGAAAAAATCGTCAGTATAGGCATGTTGTGCGCACTAGACTAAAGTTATTGAAAGAGTGCAGTTAATTAAATCAGCAATTCAGTGACCTTAACAAAATTCCTTAACTGTTTTATTTTCACCTTATTATAATGATCTGATTAGAATGCGGCATAGAGTTCCTCAAGAATTGGGATCTGATATTTTCAAAAGCTGTTACTGATCCCAAATACTAATCACAGCACATTTGATTGCATAATGTGCCTGGGTCCTAGAAAATACCAAAAGATATGGGCCTTTCCGACACTTTGATCAGAAGTTTTTCGGCTATTCTCACGAAAATACCCTTCAATACAAGACAAAATCAGTAGCTTAAAATGACGAAAAAAGTCACACATACACTCGCATGAACTATTTTCATCTGATCTCATTTTGTTCGAACCTCAGCTTTGTTAATAAATTTTGCCCTGTTCCTTCAGATTCCCTAATATAATCTTACATTTGCACTATATTAGACCTGTGGTCCCCAATTTTAGATTTATGTCTATATTTTCGTCTGGAAATTTGTCAGAGTGACATCTTTTAATACCTTTCGAAATTCTAAATTAACCCTTCAAAATACAGAAAATCAGGAGACACCATTTTATGCATTGCCTCAATCTTTCCTCTTCTTAGTATTTTTGAAAAACTCTTAAGGATCCCATGTCTAAATTTGCTCAAACACCGCAACTTCCAGTCTAATGATTGATTCACCCTTTACTTCATTAACTTGGCTTTGTTTTATAATCAAAATGGAACTGGAACTCACCTGCAATTAAATTTTATTTGTAAATCTGTGAAATTCCCAAGACAAACTTCCAATGTTCGTCCACAAAACATTTATAAAACAAATTGGACAAATCTCCAGGGTTCTGGCAGAAACAAGTTAAAATTTGCAAAACACATGCAAGTGATAAAATAGCACAACATAGAAATTATAACAAACGTGATTTCGGAGCATACCACTCCAACAGGTAACCAATTAGACACATGCAGGGGGGTCATGTTATCTCTGCCTCCCACATTGATTCCCAATGGATGGTTTAACATTATTTTAATCTTTGAACCAATACAAGTCTGCCTTACAATTTTAAGGTAGCAAACACAACATTCTCACAAACATATTTATGCATATCAAGGATAGAAGGAAAATTGTATATTAAGTGGTTGATTAAGACATCGAACACACAACCAATAAACATCATTCACATGGTGGGAGGGCGCAACACAAAACAAATGGAAACGACCAAACATCGACGGTTATCAACAAGTCTCTCAAGGGTTATAAAATCAAACAACAGCAGCCACAACAATAACAATAACACCATGGGAATGAAAAGACCCAACAATATTGCATTTAAATTTGACATTAGATCCATGAGAAAAAAAAACATGAAAAGTTCGCCAAATTACTTTAACTCCAAAGTTCTGCCAAAAGTTATATCGAAATTTCTGTGGCATTTTCAAATAATTTCCAAAGATTAAACGGCACAAAAATAACCCTCAATTGCAGACTTATTAAAATTTAAATTGGGCCATACCCAAACAATTAAATTATGAACGGCTGGCTGTGTGTCTGTGTCTGTGTTAGTGGGTGTTGGTTGTTAAGGTAGGCAATGTGTTTGAATCTACATCTACTTCCACTTTTTTTTGTTTACCCGAAATTCCATTTCTGACAAGTCAAAAAGCAACCTTTTTCCATCTTCCATCCATTTCAAGTTTCTTAGCCCCGAGTAATGAATTGTAGAATTCCCTTCACGCCACGTCCGTCCATACATTGTGGACGGTGGGTGGATGACTTCGACTTTTCGTTTGCAACACTTTAACATATTTTCAATCTGTTGGCCATTTTCTTATTCTGTGTCTTTTTCCAATTTTCGTTTCTCTCTTTACAGAAGGCTGTAATGCATATGGCTATGCCTGCTATGGAGGACATGGCAAACGTTCGTTGCATTCACAAATGCCCGATATGGCAACAGGTATCGACCTGCAGAATGAACCAAGTCAGCAGCAGCAGCAACAACAACTGCAGCTACAACTACAACACCATACCAATCCCATGCTGCAAATGTATCCGAGTGAGGCCAACACCATGCTTTTGGATGCCGACCTGGAAGCATATCCCCGATATCGATTAATTAAAATGATGAAGTCTTGGGTAAGTGTTGCACGAAAGAGAAATGGCAATCGAAAGGACATTAATGTGAGAAATAATTTAATTGTAATTTTTTTGGATACCTATGGGGGAGTGGGGAGGAGTAATACACAACATGTGTGCATATCTAAAGCTGGAATATACCGTTGCAATAACAAAATAATGTTATAATTATACCCTCAGCCATATGGCTAGAGTGGGTATATATCATTTGATACGGCAAAAGGGTGCCTCATCGAAACAACGGTTTTTGATCCTAGGTCTCTTTAGACCAAAATCCTTTCAGTACATTCGGAGTCGATCTAGCGATGTCTGTCCGTCAGTCCATCCATCCGTCTGTCGGGCTGCTGCGCACGACAACTATCGAAGGGAGTATCCGATTTGATCCAAACTTGGTACATCGTAATATTATTGTCAAACTTAGATCGGGTTCGGAGATGGGCAATATCGATCCACTCCTTCTAGTACCTCCCACACAAAATGTCAACATTTTCAAAGAAAATTATTCCAACTTTGCAAATCTTAATATTTGCATCAGTGCTAGGTCAGGTGCGAAAATTGACAATATCGATTTACTCCATCAAGTACCACCCCCACAAAGGGTCAACATTTTGAATATCTATGAAGCGCATAAGACGCGAAATAAACATCCGTCTCCATTCAGACTTGGCACAGCTCAATATTTCTATTAACACAAGATCTATTATAAAGATGGTTGAGATCGGACCATTCCTTCTGGTAACTCCCCCACAAAGGGTCAAAGTTTCGAATAACCAAAATATTTCACACATGCCATTATTTTTACTAACACAAGATCTGCTGTGAAAATGGAATATATCCATCGGCTCCTTGTAACTATGAAGCTCATATAAAGCATTTCAGACTTGGCACATTCAGACTTGGCACATGTTAATATTGCCATAAACACAAGATCTGTTATAAAGATGGTAGAGATCGGACCATTCCTTCTGATACCTCCCCCACAAATTTTCAAAGTTTTGAACAACCAAAATGATCATAAAATCCGAAATAAGCATCCAGCTCACTATTTCCATCAACACAAGATCTGTTATAAAGGTGGTACAGGTCGGACCATTTTTTCTGGAACCAGAAATCTGATATAAATATGTGATTTATCGGAATTTATGATTTCGCATAAAAGTGGATATAAATGTTCGATTTCCTTGAAATTTTGCACATACCAATATTTTTATCCGTCATAGATGAAGTATGACAAGTAAAAAATCTTTAAGTTCGGCTGGGCCGAACTATGAATACCCTCCACCAGTTGGAACGAATTTGGCAATTTCAAAAAAAAAAAAATAAAATCCGTTAAAAATTCTGTTAGAATCTTAAAAATACCGAATGTAGCCGTTATATTGGGGTCTATACGACGACATGGACCCGCATAGGCAACTTTTGTCATCAAAATCATCAAAATACCGAATATTGGGAGGTACTGTTATATGGGAGCTATACGAAGGCCTAGACCTGCACAGACAATTTTTTGTCATAGGGTGTAGTATCCATTATTAACTTCAAATACCGAAAAATTCCGGTGAATAATGTCGCAAAAATCATCAAAATACCGAATATGAGGAGGTGCCGTAATATTGCCCATTTTCAATACCAAAAGTACTGCAGATATAAAACACATTTGAGTTAATGTTACTTTCTTTCTTACTTCATTTCGTTTGGAAGCTACAGTGATTTCCACAGTCGGACAGACGGACGGACATCGCTAAATAGACATAGAATTTTATGCTGATCAAGAGTATATATACTTTGTGGGGTCTATATATATTTCGAGGAGTAACAAACGGAATGGCAAACTTAATATGCCCTCATACTATGGTAGAGGTTATAATAAGGCTAAAATCATCAAAATACTGAATATCGGAGGGTACCGTTAATATACCCTCCATACTATGTATAGTGGAGGGTATAAAAATGAATAAAATTCATTGAGGTCGATTAGCCACAGCTGTGGTGTTGAAAATCTCGCGAACAACTAAAGGGCTAAGTACATAAGAAGTTTGAGGTCGTGGCTAGACATATCTTGTGACATTTCACAAAGGGATTACAGATCCGCACTAAAATCCTGCCGTTGTTTTCCATTATAGTTTTATATTAATATGCCTAGCCATGACTTCAAGCATTCATGTACTTGCATCTTGTCTTTTATTTTCTTCTTTGTTGTCTCTTCTCTATAAGGCCAGATTTTAATTTACGGACTGGGAGAGAGTTGCCACATTACGATCCGTCGATCCTATCGGTTTACAAACGTCCTCCGCATTTTCGCAAAACACTTGCTAATATATTTAATAGCTTAGAACATAATAATTTAATAGCATAGAACTGTTACAACAACAAATTCCAATAAAAATATTTTTTTTTCTCTTTTTTTTTCTCATTTTAGTTTGGTAACACCCATAGAAGGCCTGTGGCTGAACACAATGCCGATTCGGATTATCCTATATCAGATGATTTTTTCAATCGGGAAAATAACATCAATACCAACAACAACTCCTATTAAGATCATGTAACTTGTGCACGCCAAACAATTACAACTAGCAACCGACCGCAGACCACCACCACCACCACCATGTTATATGCCTACCAAAGAAAGATTTTATCTTAAAAAATCGATTTTCAAAAAAATTTCCTTTTGTTTTGTTTTTGTCTTCTGTATGACATAATATCCATCATCAACTATTATTTAGAAAAAAAGAAAGAAAATAAATGTTGAAATTGTAAATAAAACAAAACTTTAGAAACGGTCACAAATCTCCACGAACGCTTAACTAAACCAAGTACTATGGAACTGCTATTTTATCGTAAATGTTAAAACAAATGAAAACTTTAGCTGAAATTTTTCTTTTCTTAAAGAACAACAAAAACAACAACAAGAAACAAGGGCTGGTAAAAATTTCAGTTAAAAAAGCAAAACAAAAACCAAAACGAAACATAATCCTAATATTATTGTACTATATACTATAATTCGGTTTGTGTACAACTAAGGAAAGCAAAAGACTACATAAAAAATAATAAGAATATTTGAATAAATTCTTAACTAGCATTGTATGTGTATAAGACAATGAAATGTATAAGAAACAGAGAGGGAAAAAACAAAACAGAAAAATATATTATAGAAATACAATTTAACAAAATATGAATGTAAACGTTGAGATTTTAACGCGTTTTTTCAGAAGCTGTCATTTTACGATCATTACAGTTTTTTTAAATGCGATTGTATTTTTTCCTCATTTAGGAGTTTCTAATTATGGACTAGGGGGTTTCATTTAATAAAAAAAACACATTTGGCCTCAATACGACCACCTAAAAATTGGTATCTGGCCATAAAGGACAAAAAAATAACATGTAATCTCCTAGTAATACCTAAAACAATACATACATAAAAAAACAAAACGTATACAATTTATGAGCTTGATCTCCTATTAAAATATTTTATTATTATTAATTTATTTAAAAATAAAGAGTACCTATTTTTAAACTTTCCATTACTTTTAAGTATCACTAGACACACACATATACACAAATTTGCAAATACACCTACCTACCTACCTATGACCACATAAATACCTATGCAAGCTACTCAATTAGCCTTCGTTGCACAACCCCAACCTCTAATGAATCGATTTCATGCCACAACGCCTGTTAAACTTTGTAAAATACTGGAATGACTTCTCGAAGCAAAGAACAAATAAAAATGTTAGCAAATTTATATAGCTAAAATATTATACAACTACATGCATACATATTAATATAAAACTACAATTAAAAAAAATACATGTATAAAAATTTAAAAGAAGAAAAAAAAACGACAAAAATATACAAAAAAAAAAATAAAATAAAACAACACACAGATGGATGCAATTTTGAAGTTTTAATATTTATATAAATTTAGAAAGGAATGGTGAAAATAAAACAAGTAAGAAAGCGGTATGCTTCTAAGCCTTTGAACAGCCTCCACCATTTCGAACGAATTTGGCAATTTTCAAAAACAAAATTAAATCCGTTAAAAATTCTGTTAAAATCTTAAAAAACCGAATGTAGTCGTTATATTAGGGTCTATACGACGACGTGGGCCTGCATAGACAACTTTTGTCATAGGCTGTAGTATCCATTACGAACTTCAAATACCAAATTTTAAACAATTCCGGTAAATAATGTCGCTAAAATTATCAAAATGCCAAACATCGGGATGTATCCTTTTATGAGGGCTATACGACGACGTGGCCCTGCACAGACAATTTTCTGTCTTAGGCTGTAGTATCTATTACGAACTTCAAATACCAATTTTGAGACAAATCCGTAGAAAAATGTCGCTAAAATCATCAAACTACCGAATATCGGGAGGTACCGTTATATGGGGGCTATACTAAATCGATATAGAAAGTTATGCTGATCAAGAATATATATACTTTTTGGGGTCTAAAATGTATATTTCGAGGTGTTACAAACGGAATGTCAAACATAATATACCCCCCATACTTTGGTGAAGGGTATAAAAATAAAGGTGAGCCTCAAAAAAAAAACACTTAGGGGCAAGAACTGCAATTTTTCCAGTAAGATCGGTAGAAGAATTGTGGGAGCCGTTATATGCGTGCCATACTTAAACGGGAGCCTATGTAGACAATTTTATACTACAACGATTGTAATCTATTGGGAGTCTTAAATACCAAATTAAATAACATAATTTCGTGGGTAAATGTGACTAGGATGACAAGGACCAATATGGACAATGTTTTGAAGCAGGTTGAAGAACCCATTATGAAGTATAAATATCAAATTTCACACAAATCTATTAGAAAATGTGGCTTAATTTGTCAAAATACCGTATATCCGATAGAACCGTTATATGTGCGCTATAGGAAAACGTGGACCTAGATATTAAATGTTCTGCCATTAGACAAATCCATAGAAAATCGTGGGTAAAACCATCAAAATACCGAATGCCGGGGGTACCGTTATACGGCGACTATACGAAAACGTGGGCGTATATTTACAATATTGCTTTTATCGGAGCCAGAACCCATTACGAACTACAAATATCTTTTTTAGATAAATCCGTTAAAAAATGTGGCGAAAACCAACAAAATAACGAATATCGGGAGGTACGGTTATATGTCATATATTTCAAAGGTTTCGTCACCGGAGCTGAAACCCATTATAACCTACAAATACCAATTTTTAGACAAATCCCTAAAAAATGTGGCGAAAATAATCAAAGATCGAATATCGGGAATTACCGTTATATGGCGGGTATACCAAAACGTGGACCTATACATACAATGTTTCGTTACCGGAGCTGGAACACATATTGCAAGTGTGAGTGTGACAACATACATCAAAAACTCATTCCGTCTAATAGCGTCTTAGGGGCTTAAATATAAACGTTGCCTTGCGCTACGTTAAAATCGAACATTTCTTTTCATAATAAATAACCCATTTGCCATTGAAAATCATAGATATATGCCCCGTTTGCTTTCCCAAGTCAATAACTTTACATACTATCCGTACGTAACACGATACCAATACGACACGATACGTCCACCACTAATTTAACAAAATACTCAGTTCACTCTTTTTTTTACCGTGTAGCACATGTTGCGCCAGACGGTGTACACAATCAAAACAGAGAGAGCATCCACACGACTTCATTTGACATTTGGTCATTGGTTGTCTACATGAGAAAAACATTGGAAATTCTGGAGTTGGTCCGCGTGTTTTGAAACTAGATTGAAAATAAATTAAAATTTTTAAGAGGTGTTCACAGAAATTCCACAGCTACAATGACAAATCTAAATGGAGGAGATGTGGCAAAAGACCTAAAGGGAAAACAGCGCGACAGCAGTGTTATCTTCCGTCGAAATCGTGCTCTGGGTTATGTTAGCAATCACATCCCAGCCGTGGTACGCTATATCCAACGACGCAAAGATAATCTTATCACAACATGCATTGGTAGATCGTTCCAAGTGTACACGGCAAGTCATTTTCGCCTGCTTCATGTGGGCGGGCAGCATCCTGATGAAATCACAGCAATGGCTACCGACCGTTGGCACATCTATACCGCAAGTAATAAGTGCATATACGCCTGGCGAGCTGGCAAACATGTGCGACACATTTATAGGGGCCATAGCAAAAACGTCCATTTGTTGCTGCCATTTAATCGACATCTGATTGCCGTGGATGAGGCCAATGTATTAAAAGTTTGGGATATCAGAGATGAAGAGGTGTATCTGGAAATACCTTTTAAGTCGGAAGAATTTCTAGTGACAGCGGTGGCCCATCCTCCAACCTATTTAAACAAAATTGTGCTGGGTTCCAAACAAGGTCAAATACAGATATGGAATATTAAAGACAATCGTTTGATTTACACCTTTAATGGTCATCCTAGCAGAGTAACCTGCATTGAACCAGCTCCGGCCATTGATGTGGTGGCAGTGGGCCATCAGGATGGTACAACAATAGTGCTTAATTTGAAATATGATGAAATACTAATGGAATTCAAGCAGGATTGGGGTGCTGTAACGAAAATAACATTTCGAACGGATGGTCCGCCAATAATGGCCACAGCCAGCACCAATGGTTATATAGCATTTTGGAACTTAGAGGAAAAGAAAGTAAGTAACCCTATCTTTGTAATTATTTTTCGTAGATTAATTACATTTTATTTTATTTTAGATTGCCAGCCAATTGCAGGCTCACGAAGACTCTGTTACTACCACAATATGTCTACCCAATGAACCTTTAGTTCTTACAACTTCACCAGATAATTCCATGAAACTGTGGATATTTGATATGACCGATGGTGGAGCAAGAATGCTGCGCATTCGTGAGGGTCACACAGCTCCACCATTGTGTATACGCTATCACGGTATGAATGGACAAACGATTCTATCTTCTGGCGAAGACAGTTCACTGAGGTCATTTAGTACCATATCTGAGACGCTCAATAAGAGTTTCGGTAAAGCCAGTTATAACCGGAAGGCATCCAAAAAGAAGAGTATGTAACAGCATTATGGAATTGTAAAACGATTGTTTAATGACTGTCCCCGTCCCTTTCATTACAGATCGATTTGAAGAGGATAGCCATCGCATGCCTCCCATTTTGGAATTTACCACAGAATTAACACGCGAAAAAGAGTGGGACAACATTGCCGCTATTCACAGCGGCACCATACAGACAACAACCTGGTCTTTCCATAAGAATCGTATGGGCGAGCATCGTTTGATACCCCCTCAGTTTACTAACAAAAGTCGTAAAGATTTCAAAACGGAGACCACCTGTGTTACATTGACGCACTGCGGCAACTTTGTTATTATAGGTATAACCATTTCAGCTCTGCTTTTACGTGTTTAATATTAAATCTAACCGCTAATTTAAGGTTATTCGAATGGCGAAGTCGAAAGATTCAATATACAGTCTGGAATTCATAGAGCCAGTTATGGTAAGCCGGCCCATTCAGCAGCCATAAGAGGAATAGCATGCGATAATCTTAGTCAAGTGGTGGTAACTGGATGCAGTGCAGGTCTATTAAAATTCTGGCATTTCAAAGATAAAGGTAAGCAATCAAATTGACAGCTTAGTAAATGCATTACCGATAATAACGATTTTATTTCAGTGGAAAAGCCCTTCGCCATCAAAAAGTTATCAGAGGGCATTGTCTTGATGCGTTGTCATCGTGAAAGTGCCATGGTAGCCATTGCATTGGAAAATTTTGTTCTCGTGGTCTTTGATATGGATACCAAAGTGGTTATTCGTAAATTCGAGGGACATTCGGCAAAGATCAATGACATTGCCTTCAGTCCTGATAGCCGTTGGCTTATTTCTGCTTCAATGGATGCCACCATTAAAGTTTGGGATATACCTTCATCATATATGATTGATCATTTTCGAGTGGAAAGACCTTGTGTATCACTCACGATGTCACCGACAGGAGATTTTCTAGCCACATCCCATGTAAATAATTTGGGCATTTATTTGTGGGCCAACAAAATGCTTTTCAATCAAATTTCGTTGCGTTCAATCAATCCTAATTCAGTGGCACCGTACGTTGGCCTACCAACAAACATGGCCGATCAGTTGAGTCTCGAAGAAGCTGTTGATGAACTATCAATGGATGTAGACGACGGCGAGGAAGATGAAGAGGGCTTGGGAGATGAGGTCAATTTAAATTATGAAACGCCAGAACAGTTATCAAAGGAACTAATTACCATGTCCGGCGTGGCAGTGTCCAGATGGCAGAATCTATTGGATTTGGAAATTATTAAGAAACGAAATAAGCCAAAAGCTCCACCCAAAGCCCCCAAACAGGCACCATTCTTTTTACCCACAGTAGCTGGCCTAGAAATGAAATTTGATTTGTCCAATGCCCAAACTGATGAAGATTCAGAATCGAGAGTATTTAAGACGACAAATCTTAATAATCTTACAGCTTTTGGGAAACTTCTAGAGGAGACTGCCGCCAGCGAAGATTATGAAAAATGTGTCACTTTTCTTAAACAGATGGGTCCCTCTATGGTGGATTTCGAGGTGAAATCATTGCATCCCATTGGCGGAGGAACGGTCAAGGCTATGATTCAGTTCTTGAAAACCCTCAAATATATGTTCGAATCGAACAATAACTTTGAATTGGCCCAGTCATACCTGAGTGTGTTTTTACGTTCACATAGTACTGGTTTAATAGAATATCCCAGTGTAATAAGCGCACTGGAGGATGTGTCCGCAGTACAGGAGACTTCATGGCAAAAAATTGAACAAAATCTTATGTACGGTATGGGTGTAGTGGCGGCACTCAGAAATTTTGTACAATAAGTTTGGAGCTATGTTTCTTTTTAATATCTACGTTTAACTACTTCTTAAAAAATAATATATTTCCAATAAATGCCGATGTGAACTTTGTAATTTACCAACAGATGAACCTACATTGTGATTATTTTTCAATAATACGTATTGTATATGTGTTATGAATTACATAAACACCCACTGAAAGGTTTTTCTTTCAAACATTTTAAGTTGAATTCAGCTGAGCTGCACTGCATGATGTATATATATTTACTATAATTAATATCTATAAATTTAGTATTACATTGTCATGTGTGCATTATTGATTTCCTAAAGGAGTTACATACATAATTACATATTGTCTGTGTGTATACACCATTCGTTGTGTACAATAATCAAACAAATGGTAATAACAGACAAACAGGACATGTGTATATGCGAATGTGTTTTCCCACCACATCAGTCAATTGTTTGGGTACCCATGGCAACAACCCATCCGAAGCACAAAGCTGACCGATTGACCACCACATAAGGACAAAATATTAAATCGAAATATTGTTATAACAGTATCTTTTGGTGGATTGGTTCGAAAATCTCTTCAGTTGCAAAACCTATTAAATTATTTCATAAAACATTTTTAAAAGTTATCTCAAAAAAGGAATTAAAAATTGATTGTGGTTGCAACAAAATGAAACATCAACAAGTTGTTGTGGATTATTGGACGATGTTGAAAACATCAATTACCTGCTTACTATTGGCCATTTCAGGATATGTGTTAATTAAGTAAGATTTTTTTGTATAAAACATTTTTCTACCACATTTACATATGCATCATGTTCGAATTTCTAGGATGGTGCAAACAATATTTTTCCTACCCGGCTATTTGAAAAATAATCAAAAACGCCTTGAAGAGTTGGCTGCCAAATACAACTTGGATTTGGATAAAGAGCTTGCCGAGGCAGAAAAAGAAATCAATGATAGGGAGAATGTTGAAGACAACAAGGACAACCCATCAGCCGATTCTACCAGCATCGAGTCCGAGCCAAAGAAGGATAAATAGTCACAAACGAACCTTTTTTCATTTTATTGCAATTTTACAATATATCTAAAACTACTGTGTATTTGTAAAAATTAACTTATACTCACTTACTAATTACATTCAACCACAACGGGCATATCTTCGGGATCTTCATCCAAAAGACCTTCAAATGACCAATTCATACCGACCCTAAGTTTTTTCGTTAAATGTTCAGCACTTTTGTGCAATCCACATACATTTAAATTTACAAGCAAAGAACGAATATCCTTATAGATACTATTGTGTTCTGAGGGTTCCATTAGTTCCTCTGGCAGATGCGGTAATTGCAATGCCAATACTTCGGCATATTTCATATACAGTAATTTGTATTTTGTAACCGAATCTTGCGAATGAGAGAGTATTGTTAAGACCTTTCGCCAATATTCCAATGATTCTATGGAATAGCCAACAAGGAAAAATGCAAATGCCAACTGTATTTCCTCAACAAGATCTTGAGCTTGGGCAAAATTCTTAAGTAATCTATCACATGCATCTATGCAATCCAATGAATGTTTTGAAACCTCGGCAGGTGTACATTCTTTGGGCACCCGGTTGGGAACAGAACAAAATCGCGGAGCAGTACCTTCAACTGGCTTTAGATTGGGCAGCAGGCAACTCTCATCTATTATTGATTTGGCTGTCAGGGGAGGACGCGTTTGACTTAAAGGTCCCCTAGGCCTTTCGGAGTCGGGACATGATTGTAACTCTGCATTGGTTCGAATAACTCCCAACGACGGTTGACATCTTTCTAAGGTGCCTTTGGTAACTGTGTCTGTTAGTTTACTCCAATCATTCCAGTAACGAAAATCATATGGTGCCAAATATTTATCCAACGACTTTAGGTTTGCCTTGATCCGCTGTATTTCCAATTCAGCATCTTCCACATAACGATCTCTCAGTTCCTCATTATTAGCATCCCACTCTTTTACCAATATCTCTTGCTCGCCGAAATAGTGGGCAAACCCCACACGAGGTGCAGTGTCTCCATATGGTCCAGTGGCTGCACACCAAATGTGGTGAGGACCTGGCGGTATCATTTTTACACCACGGAAATTTTCATCCGTTGTGTACGAGCACAAATCAATGCCGAACTCTGTCTTCCTGGGCACACCAGTAATGACAAGAACAGCGCCATGCTCGAAAAGCTTTTTGGCGGTTTCTGAATCGATGTCCAAAGGCGAGGTGTTGTTTGTATTCATGCTCAAAATTGGGCTACAAAGAGATTCGCGCGAGATTCAAGAAAGAAAGTTGATGAGCATATTGAAATAATTGAATATCACAGAAAATAATTTTAAATAATTGTAAATACCTTTCAATTGCTCCTGAATAAAGGAAACTCTTTTAGGAAGCCTACTTCTGCCTAGTTGGAGAGGAGCGACACAGCTAGTTGTTTACAGCTGATAGTTGATGGAGTCCAGAAATTCACTAGGAATGGATAGCTTGCAGAGGCCATTGCTTTTGAGCATGGTAGAAGAATATAGGTAGACGCATCGACACATCTGCTGGGACAATGAACTGTCAAACCAATTTTGGAATTGAATGTTGAATTAAAAATTAAAAAAGATTTAAATTTGAAAAATGATTTGAAAAACCTCCGAATGACGTCGTTTAAAAAACATATAAAAATCGACTTATATTCGAAAAAAAACAATCAATGCTCCCAAGCTTTGATGTATTTTTCTTCGTTGTTGCATTTGGGACATACAAATAGGATGTGAGATGCATTTTCATCAACATGACGAGATTCGGATAACGAGGTTGGTTTGACATTTGAAGTTCTTAATGGATACTACAGCATATGACAGAAAATTGTCTATGCAAGTCCAAGCCTTCGTATAACCCCCATATAGCAGTATCCCCATCTTCACAGCAGATCTTGCATTAGCATCAGGATCCGGGAGGGACCTGAAGGAATGGTCCGATCTCCACCATGACGCTAAATGACGCCCACTTTATCCTTGGTTGTCCAAGGTGTATGCATAGCAAAGCAATTAGAATTACTAGAATTACTTACTTTCTTAACTGTTTTTTATGTTTTTTTAAACAATAATCCTGTACAACAAATGTGTCCAATCCAATTCTTATTGGAATGTAGATAGAACCTTATGGTCTTATGTTCACGCATGCGATAAAATATGTCACAAAATACTACAAAATCTATATTAACATCATTATTGGCATCTCTTTATGCGATTTTTTTAGATTTTATACTTTTATGCAAAAAGGGCATTCTATGGCCTATTTCACTCACTAAATAATTCCCGATGACCATTGGAAGGCTTCTGCATAACCTTAAGCTCTAGCCCCATACTAATTTCCGCGTCGATTGGTCCATAATGGCGACCTGTAGAGCAACTGCAAAATCAAGAAATTTTTCAGTTTTTGGTCCATTTCGACCCCCAAATATTATGCGATCATCTCCAAAAGAAATAGGGTTCTATTCTGACCTTAACCCCACCTCCATTCTAAATTTAAGATAATTGCGACCTGTAGAGTGATTACAAATTAACATGGACAGACGGACAGACGGACGGACGGACATACATAGCTAGATCGACTCAGCTCGGCGAGATAGGAAGTTCCATATATAATTTCCAATGTGGGAAACCAATATTTCGAGGTGTTACATAATTTTTGGCCATCAAACTTAGCAACACATGGTGTTGAAGGGTATTAATACCGAATACCAAATCAGTTGTTGAAATCAAACATTTGGAACGTTCACGAAAACGTTTTCGCTTTCAAAAAAATAAAATCCATTGAAAATTTAAAAATTTAAATTTTGAAAATACCGAATATAGCCATTATATTGGGGTCTATACGACGACATGGACCTGCATAAGCAACTTAACTTTGGTCATAAACCAATTCCACTATACGATACCGTGGATATATCGAATAGATCCTGCCTGCAGACAAAGGACTAAGCTTCTTATCTTTCCTATCTCAATTCGTTTTGATTCTAGCGTGATTACCCCAGTCGGACGGACATCGCTAAATCGACATCGAATTTTATGCAGTTGGTTGGCCCAAGGATATGACGTTGCCATTGGTAAATGGTTTACTATTTAAAATTGAACAAGTAAAAAAACTGTAAGTACCTCCACCATTTGGACCATTTGGTACAAATTTGGCAGTTTTCAAAAAATATAATCTTTTAAAAATTCTGTTAAAATCTGGGGCAAATTATTTTTCCAATCAAAATATTGAATTAAAAATTTTTCAAAATTGTTATTTTTCCTATTACAAAAGCAAACATTCAAAACTTCCATCATCGATTGAAAGTAATGCTGATGCCATGGGCTGTAGTACCAACGAAGCGAATATAAAGGCCAAAAAGCAATACTTGATAAAAAATAAACAGAAAGCAAAGACTCCGGGTACTCTGTTGTTTACGAATGAGACAAATGAGACATGAGAGAATTGAACATCTTCACAAAAGAGCGCGGAACTAGCTACAAATTAAATTGAATTCGCTGCAACCAAAAATCCCCAAAATCAAAAAAAGGTTTTCCCCAAATCTCCTCCAAAAACACAGAGTATTGATAGCAAATCCATTTCTTATATCTGGTATAAATTATTACAACTTTGTCTGGTTAGTGAGGAACATATTTTATTGATGCGTTACGCATGTGATGTAAATTTTATTAAAAAAAATCCCCACTAAATCCTTAAGTCCCCATCTTGAATTTTTCATCCCCAATTTGAAAAGAATATCCCCTTTTTGGGGAATATTCCTTAGTACTGGCAACACTGGTTTAAGTTGATAAATGATTAGGGATTCACAGATCGTTAAAGAGCATGTGTATTAGGGTTTTAGAGATCAATATTGACTGCAATAGTAATTTATGCTAGTCGATTGTAGATGTCACCTTTAATGTAATTAACATGGTGGAAGAATATATAGAAAAAGAAGAATTCTTCTATCATGGGTTATAAGCTATGTTTCTTTATCTGGGTTTTTGTAAATATAGTAAAAACACATATGCCTGTTAATAACGGTCAAGTTTCAGATTATCGATCTGTTTTGAACCTTCTTCTTGCATTTGTAAAAGCAAATTGTTTTTAGCAATGTTGTTCTTCATTACTGCCATTTTTATTTACATCCCTGTGAAAAATAAAATTAAATTGCCCCCGAATTTTTTTACATTTCTATTCCCCTTTACTCCTCTCTCTCTACCTCACAAAGGGCGATTTTCCGCAAGTAAACTGGCCTAAAACTACATGTGCAAGGTTAAATTAAAAATTTGATTTATTTGGAGAAACTTTCGACAGCAAGGGAAGACCATGGTCTAAATTTGACTTCTCTGCGACAATATTACATTTTTCTCATTTTTCTTGACTCAAAACATTGACATGTAAATTTTCATCTTCTGACAACGCAGACTAAATGTTGTTGCAATCCAAAATCGACTCCTATTTCTCCCTTTAAATACTTCATACATATATATCCTGAATAATAGTCGAGATCAACACATGTCCGTTTCCAACAGATTTTTAGCCATTTTACCGAAAAAAAAAGAAATTCCATTATTGCAAGTTTTAAACATGTTTAATTTATTTATTTTTTGAACTAACAGTTGATTTTGTTTCAATTGTTGTAAAGTATGATTTAGATTGTTTATTTGTAAACGACGTCGTTTGAGTTATACACTGTATCTTCTAAATTAAATTGCCAGAACATTTCGTATCTCCCCCTCCATCCAAACGAGTTTTCAAACCCCAAACTTATTGATGTATATAGTTGTTCGATTTTTGTTTTATTTTCATGAGTATCCCAAGCCGAATCGTTTTAAAGAACTGAGATAAATTTAGAGTGTGGTGTGATTAGATTTTGAGTCGCTGTGCTACGGATAGATTGTTGGAACAAAAAACAAAAAAGAAAACAAAAACACCAAATTTGGAATAGGAATGGGCAACCGAATCAAAAATGCATGCCATTCCATAAAATCAAAAAATGGTTGCATTTAATAATCAAATATAGTTTAAGTGGTATTACTACTATGAGTTATAAATATATGTAATATATATATAAAGTTACAAATACAGCGGTGTATATATAATGTACATTTATAAATTTTCAATGTTTCTATTTCTTGACGTAATTTTTAGATATTTTCATTTTTGCTGATTGGCTAAAAGTGTTGCAATATCTACTAATGAAACGGATAGGTAGATTTTAATTCTTCCAGCCCAAAATGATGTGAGGAGAGTTAATTTTCACCAGATATCCTGATGATCGCATATATATTGTGGCAATATGTATGTATCGAATCAGAAGACTGTTTTGGAAATAGCTTGCCACTAACAAGATGGTGGTAGGTAGGTGGTAGCAGTTAGCAAATAAATATAGACATACAAAAACTTTTGAAGTTCCAGTTCTAGATCTTGCAATATATTGTTTATGTTCGTGTTTCTGTTTGTGTTGTATTTCAAATGAATGTTCTAATTTTTGTTTATAAAACGAGGAATAGTGAGAGTAGTTAGCAATAGGGTTAAGTTACATGTATGATTTACTGCTGCTGCGTTCTTGCTTAGAAAGGGTTGTTTTCCTAGAAATCTTCTGATGGATTTTTCTTCTTGTTTTTTGTGGGAGTTGTATGATTAGTTGTATGATTATAAGCTGGTCTCGCCGGTTTTTAGGTTATTACATGCTTCTTAACTTGAGGAACATTGCTGCACTCTGGGTCCTTCCTCATAACGATCATCTTCTTCGTACGCCATGCGATGATGATGTTGATCCCGACGTTGCTTAGGATCATATTCAGACTGCAAGAAAAGAAAGACATATGAATCAAGTTATAGTTTGTCAAAAGGATTTCTTTCTTAACTAATTGTAGGATTAGGGTATTTAACAAACCCCACCCCCCATTACTATATTTAACGATACACCCTCATAATTATTAATCAATTAACTACTTCCTTAAATTCTTAAGAATTCAGAGTTTCGGACAAGAAAACTCGGTTTGAACAATTTTAAGCTGAATGGAATATATTTACTGTCCGTACTCCCCATAATTTGTACAAAAATGCCCCATCAAAATCCTACTACCCACATCAAATCCGAGCCATCCCATCTCATAATAAGTAAAGAACACAACTTACCAATGTGACCTGTTCAGCATCTATTGGAATGGTTACTTCTGGTCTAGGTGGCAAACATTGCTCCAAAGCGGGAATAATAGAAACTGGAATTGATTCGGGGAAGATCACCTCAAACTGGATGATGAGGCGACCCTTTTCGAGTGGATTCTTGTATAATGGCATACCCTCATCCATTACACACTTCGTCATTTCGTGTTTTATTACCTCGCCGGGTGGCGATGTGATAACCAAATCACGATCGTCCAATGTTTTGATCACTCTGCTGAAACCGCACAAAGCCTCTACCAATTGAATGGGCATCTTCATCATCAAATCTGTGCCAGCGTGAACGAAGGTCTGATGTTCTTTTTCGTCCAGTAAAATAATAATATCGCCGGGCTGGGAGTCGGGTTCATGGTCACCTTCGCCGCTAAATACGATCTTCTGACTGTCACGCATACCCTTTTCAATGTGCACTTCCAGAACTTTACGTTCGCGCACTGTCTTGCGGCCGTTACATTGCTTGCAACGATCTTTTTCCGAAATCATCTCACCAGTACCGGCACACTTGCGACAAACTTGTTCGATGTGTTGGACCAATCCGGGGCCGATTTGTTGGATGCGTGACTCCAAGCCGGCACCATTACATTGCATACACTTTTCAATAGCTCCTTTCCTGCCGCCACGTCCCTCGCACTTGTCACAGATGACATTCTTCTGCAGGGCCAATTTGCGTGTTGCTCCATTGTACAATTCTTCCAATTGAACTGACATCTGGTGAACAACATCCTTGCCGCGGCGTTCACGACGACGGCCCGATGCGAAACCACCACCAAAGAATTTCTCAAAGAAGTCCATAGGATTACGGAAATCACCGGTGTCGGCACCGCCCTTCTTGATGGCCGCATCACCACCTTCGTCATAAATGGCACGCTTATCGGGATCAGACAACACCTCGTAGACCTGAGAAATGGCTTTGAATTTTTCACCCTCATGGGGGTTTTTGTCCGGATGATACTTCAGGGCTAATTTTCTGTAGGCCTTTTTCAATTCTTCAGGCGTGGCGTTGGGCTTGACACCCAATAGGTCATAATAAGCAGTTTCTTTCACCATTTTGCAATAATTATGTGTGTGAGCTTATAAAACTAGAAGATAATAATTTCTTGTTGTTTCAACCGAATAGTTTCTTAGAGATTTGGAAGAGGAGCCTGCTTCCGTTAATCAGGTTGGTTATTTGTCTTCTTGGTCTTTGTATTGTTGTTGTACACACACACACAAAGATGACACAGGAATGAAAAGGATCTGAAAAATAAAGAACAAACCACAAAATAAATACCGTGCAAAGTGATAGGGTGGTTGGTTGCCATTTCATATCTCCTTTTCTGCTGGGAGGAGGGAGGGTCTGGCTTTCAATTATGCATTGTTATCAAATTACTTTGCCATGTTCTATCGTTGCGCTTTTACAAATATAATTTGTTTGCCAATCGATTGAATTAAATCATTTGTCAGTTTAGAACTGCACAGGCATAGATAAATGTGTGTTTGGGGAAATTACGACTGAACGTGTGACGTTGCGAAAAATCAAGGTCTTTCTTTGATGGTTTTGTTTCACAGGTGCCATTGGGGAGAGGGGAGAAAAATGAAAACACCAAGCGTTGTTTTGCTATTTGATACTGTGCAACATTGTGGAGGATAGTCGTAGTATGGGTGCCATACAGAAACTTTATATTGTTGTGGGGTGGAAATTTATTTTTTATATTTTTTGGGTATGGACCGACGATAATATATTCTCGCATATTAGTGCTAATCTAATGGGATACCTAAACAGTAATTCCAACTTTGGTCTAAAGATTTCTGGTTCTTAAAACACTTCCCAAAATATACCAACATCTTTCCACATTCGGGAAAGTGTTTTTCCGTTCTAACCTCTGTAAAAAGTTTTGACTAGAGTTAAGGAGATAAGACCAGCCTCTGAACATTTTTGATGGTTCTAAAAGAATTTCGGTTTATAGACATTAGGAGCGTTCGTTTAATGGATAATTTGTACAATTTGTTAATGAAATCTATTCGTTTACCCAAAAGTCCAAATTTGAATTGCCGAGAGTTTGCAAATTCTTATTGGGAGAATTTTCCGACTAAAAATTATCCAGTAACATCAGCTAGTCAATAATCAGTTCTTTTTGTAAACAAATAAATTTAACAAATATATTTTTTCCGGAAAAAATTTATTAAAATTGTTAACAACAATGGATAAAGAAAACCTAAGAAAAGATTAAAAAAAAAGTAAAATAGTATTAGTAGGTTTGCCGGCAGATTTGTACCCCCTATGGGGGAGGTTCCGAACGAGTTGGACAATATCGACCAATTTGTATTTGACTTAAGAAGAAGAAGAAATAGTCGATCTCTACCATCTTTATAACAGATCTTGTGTTAATGGAAATATTGAGATGTTATGAGCTCCATGAATATTCACAATGTTAACCCTTTGTCTACCCCACAGAAAGAGTGGACCTGTACATACCATCTTCACATCAGACCTTGGGCTAATGGAAATATTGTGCTGTGTGTAATTTGAAAGTAATCGGGCTCTTACATCACATTTTATAAGAGTTATAATTATTGACAATTTTGAACCTTTGTGGGGGAGGTGCTTGATGGAGGGGACCGATATTGTCCATTTTCGAACCTGATCTAAAACTGATGCAAATATTAGGATTTACAAAGTTGGGGCAAATTCGGACTGTTCTTTCTTTCATTGTGCAGTAAATTATATTTTTTGAAAAGTTCGACCTTTTGTGGGGGAGGTAACAGAGGGAGCGGACCGATATTGTCCACTTCCGAAATCAATCTAAGTTTGACAATAATATTACGATGTACCAAGTTTGGACCAAATCGAATACTCTCTTCGAGAGTTATCGTGCACACCAGCCAACCATACGGGCAGGCGGACGTAGATCAAATCCAATTGTCTTGAAACGAATATACCCTGGAATCAGGGTAAAGGTACCTACCTCTGGAAATAATTTCAAAAAAAGTTGTTACTAGAGTTAAGCCGAAAAAAAAAGTAACCAGACAGACCTAATACCAACAAATTTAAACATTCCAATTAGGCATGGCATGACTCTGCTGCGACTAAACAAAAAAAACTATATTCCAATAGTATAGTTGCTCGTCTCAATGTTATGTTCAAATAAAATCAAAGTCCGAATGTTTGGTCATTATAAAGCGTGGACAACAGACTTGGCATGAATGGACCCGCGATCGAGCATATTATCATTTCGAACACAATATGCATGACGTAAATATAAACAGAACATTTTTATAATAAACATACACATTATAGACAGTTCACGATAATATTTCTATTATTTTCTGAAGACTCAGTCATCGTGTATTTTCTAGATATTTTATAACGACGACGGTGAACAGACACCACATTGCACACATGAAAAGCTACGATGACTATGGCATTCTGTTTTTTTTTTTCTTTTTTGCAGTAAACCCAGCTGCTCCCTCTGCTGCTGCTACCATAACAAATAAATACAACACTGGGTTTGGGGATAACAACGAGTAAACAGACACACTCGCGCACACACATGTGTAAACAAGCAAATAACCAATGAAACCACGAACAAAAGGAACGCAAAAATTTTCTATCGGTTTCCACATGTTGTCGTCTGCTAGCAACTATAATAAGGAAATAAAAACTATTTTCCAGGTTGATGTTCTGTCTGATGAAAAACCAAGGAACATTTTTGAAAGAAACCAATTCAAAAACCATGCAGAAAATGTTTATTATTTCTCCCAATTGTCATAATAGGATTTTGCCGAAGTCTCGGTACAACCGATAAGTAGATACAGATATGTATATAGTCCATACCGTCAAAGGGCGATAGACAATAAAAGGGCAGGTGATTTCGTTAATTCTATAGAAAAAATGTGAGCAACGAATCTTAAATGAAATCGGCCAATATTGCGGCAAATTTTCATCTTCATCACATTTTCCCTTCACCCAATGAATTACATAAAATTTCCACATAAATTAACAAAAAAAAAAACAGATGAATGTCAGAGTCGAATCAGGGAAGAAAGTTGAAGAACCCATTCGACATACACACGCACGAATTCTCATCTTTTTTCTCACCACAAATGCGTCACTTGGTAACACAGTTATACAAAGAAAATGGTAAACTTTTTTCACTATTTTACCTTACTAGGTGTCGGGCAAATTCTCTCAATTCTTTTCGCAAAAATAGATTATTTTATAAAATAAATTAGAAAAAAAATACTATGTTCCTTGCAATATATGAAGTCTTCTTCCATAGAACACCTCAGAAAAAGTTCAATTTAATGCACACTTTGTCTTTTCTCAATATTGAATAAATATTCTTTATATTTGTGTAATTTGCCAGATAAATAAGTCTTTCCCCTTTTTTAACAAATAATTTAATATTTGACAAATGGAACTCACACAAAAAATGATCCGTCGCGCAATACTTTTATTTTACGAATGAATGATGGCGTTCTTCGTTTCTTCAATTTTCTAGAAAGCATTGCCATCCGTTCGTTTTTTTACAGGGACTCATAAGTCGGTAAATCGACCAGAAAAATGTAATCGATTACTCTGGTCGAAGTATAGGTTTGTTCGTTGCAACTATTAGTACTTTGTGAAAGTGGTAAATTTTTTCCTTGAAACACCAGAACCTGCATGTTACAATTGTTCTACTATAAACGATTTTTCCCTTATGATATCGCATTGAAAATTTATATCCCGAAATTAGTTACAAATTTGTTTTGTTTATTTTTTATTTCTATTTCTATACGATATAATCAAAGGAAGTAAAAAGCATATGCGAGTGTGTGATAAAAAAATTATGAGGTATATGTAAAATGCAAAGCCCATTCCATCCGATGGTGCCTTTAAAAATCAATACTTTTTTCATAAATCCGATTAATATTATATCCTTACGATATGTTTGCGTTAAAACTTTTTCCAGGGATAACCTACATCAAGAGGATTTATTTGAAGTATAAGTAATGGATATGACAATTTTAATCCAAATCCAGTAGGTTAACCTATTTATATGTAAACGTACTATTACAGTACGTTTACGTTGTAAAGGATTTTGAAAACCCAGTCGGATTAAATTGTCAATTCTATTGTATATACCTCAAATAAATCTTCACAACGAAGGTTATCACGGAAAAAACTCTAATGTAAACGTTCTTTAAGGTGCAAGTACATAAAAAGCTTGAAGTCATGGCTAGGTATATTAATGTCAAATTATAATGGAAAACGACGGTAGGATTTTAGTGCGGCTCTGTAATCCCTTAATGGAATGTCACAAAATATGCCTAGGGATGACTTCAAGGTTCTTATGTTTTTACACCCTAATACTATTATTAGACACATTATCTCGATTTTAATGCTTAACCTCTCAAATGTACTATGATGAAAGAGGTAAAGTAATTTAAAAAAATGGTAAAATTAAGGATGTAAAATCATTTAAAATAAGACAATCCATCTCTGCATTTTCTGTAATTTAACTTGAATAAAAACAGGTTGCCATCTCTGATTTCTAAATTTTGACAATGAGATGTTGTCAAGTGAATAATTTTGTAGAAATGTAAAACATTTGATTGATGACTTTACCTTCTTAATTCTACCATGATTACACTGTGTAGAACACAGATTCCCATATCCTCTTTGGTAAAAAACAAGGGCTTTGTTATGATAGAATCAAAAGATGAAGTCATAAGGACAACATCTAATTTTCAAAATATATATTTATAAATCCATTGTAAGTACACAAATTAGAAATGGAAACCTAGTTTTTATGCTGTGAAATTTGACATGGTAAATTACAGAAAATGCAGATAAGGGAATGCTTATTTGAAATGACTTTACCTTCTTAATTTTATCATGGGTTTTGTAAATAAACATTTTGACAATGAGATGTGGTCAAATGAATCATTTTGAAAAATAATCATCATATAATACAAAATAATATCACATTAAAACTAAATCCAATGTTAAATTGGAATATTTTGGAATTTAACACTACTTATTTCTCACGGTAGAAGAATACAGGTAGATGCATCAACGCTTGGGAACATTGATATGTCAAAAATGTTATTTTTTTTAAATAAGTAGATTTTTATATGTTTTCTTATACGACGCCAATCGGAGATAGTTATGATATTCGTTTTTCAACTCAATTTTCAATTTTCCGATTTTGAATAACTTTTCATTCAAAATTTTCAATTTCAAATTTAGTTTGACAGTTCATTGTCCCAGCAGCTGTGTCGATGCGACTACGACTATTCTTCTACCATGTTATTGCTGCAAATTCTGTCACTCGAGACCGCGAGTGATCATATATGTAGTGTTTTATAATATAAATAAAAAAGCTCCTGAAAAAGATCAGCCGACCGACAGTTAATATACAGGCATGTCACAGAATGTAAAATCGTTCAAGAGTGAAAACGAAAACGGTTTTAGCTTCTCTAAAAAACGGAAAACGCAAAAATTTTGCGTTTTGATATCACTTTCAAAAAGCAGGGTGAAATTGAAATGTTTAGTGATTTTAACGTAAAAAATAAACAGAAGACACATACATTTTACAGAAAATATTGTATTAACCAAATTCTCTTAGAATGAACATGTTTTTGGAATTTATTTTACAAAAAATCTATTATTTTTCTAATCCACGATGAAAAATAATAAAAAGGACTTGCGAGGAACTGGTGGTGGTGAACACGAGAACAGTTTAATCAGAATTTGCGGATTGTATAAAAGTGTCGATGGAGTTGGTGGTGCAGTAAGCTTTGCGGATTTTGTAAGTGAATTAGACCTCAGTTGTTCTGAAAAAGAAAACTTTGATTCGTCATCATCTACACATATTCCAAGAACTCGAAAAACAAGTCAATTAGTTTTAAGTGAATCTGAAAACGAAGAGCTTAATTTTTCACCCTAAACTTCAAAGCAGACCACTTCGATTTTAAATAAAAAAGATAGACCAAGATCATGCATTCCACCTGCTTTTAAAAATGTTTCTACATTGGCAATTGATCCAAGAACACCAACATTGGAAGAAAACCGTTCGCGAACACCTATTCAAAAACGACTTAGAAATAAAAGCTTATCGTGTTCTCCGCCATCTACACCAATAAGACAAGTGTCGGGCAGCCTAACAAAAGCAAAACCCACGCCTGCAGTAAAAAGACCCCGGGCAAGAACTCCCTCAAAGCAAGATCTAAATGCGCTTTTAGTTGAGGAAAATTCTCATTTACAAAATTTGGAAAAAATTTGTAAAATTCTAGAAGATAACAGTAAGGAAATGAAAAAACAAACTGAAAAGTTGGACAGACTTTGTAACATCCTGGAAAAAAAGTATGTGGAAGAGCAGTTACATAATATTGAAATGCAAAAGAGAATGCGTGAACGGAACGAAATGAAACTCAAAATAGTTGAACTTGAAACTCTTAAATATGCTGTAGAACAGGAAAAAGCAAATACGACTCGTTCTTAACTTTACATTATTTTACACAATGGACTAAAAATGGCGGATCCTTACTCTGCATTTGAGTGAGATAAAGGATCTAATGCGTTCCTCAATGTCCGGCGACGAATTTTTTCAGTAGACCGCTGATTTATTTCTTCATCCATTACAGCAAGTATTGAAGCCCCTGGCATTTTTACTTTTGGTGTTTATATTATAAAAACAATTTAAACTCTTTTTTTAATTGTCAATAATTTGTTTACGACTTTTTTTGCATGGAGTTACCATATTTTTATTTCAAAAATGTGAAATGATTTTTTTTTCGGTTTAGTCAAAACGTACGAGTGCTGAAGAAGCAAAAGCAAATCGTAACGATTTGGAAAAGGTGAAATAAATCGATTTCGTAAAACTTCTGTGACATGCCTGATAATTTCAAATTACATAGTACTAACAAAAGTGATTTGAAAAATAAAATTAAATGGCTAATTTAATACGGATACAAATTCACGTAGTCCTCTTCATTTTCATACAAATCTTTGTGTAAAATAAACGTGATTAATATTTAAAAATTAACGAAATGTATTTTACACAATCTCAAAATATTTTGAAGCGGCTAGAATGTGTTTCGGGATATTGATTATTATATTATCGATTATTATATTATTGATAAATACGCGCTTAGGCAAACTTGTCAAAGCCAATATTTGTTCTTATGACAACTAGTACAAAAAAGCAATAAAAACAAGTTTTAAAATTTATAAAGCGAAAAATTGTCAAAAATTATAACATTTTTACAATTTTGCAGGTACTGAAACAGAGTAATTTTTCATAAATATCCACAATGCTATCTTTTTTTATGTATAACCATGGCTCACTAAGGAAATATGCGTTTCTGTTGTCTCTAAATTGAAACAATTTCAAATATTTTTTTATACGCACACCAAAAGAAAAAAATTATATAGGGGTAGCTTTGCTCTACCTTCTGCTATTGTGCCATGTGTATAACAATATCATAAAACAAAACCTATTTACTTGGACAATGTGAACTACCCTTTTTTTCATTTAATAACCAGTACCCATACTACATTTTTAAGTACCTTTTTTATCCAGCCCTGGTAGAAGCGAAAGAGAAGAATAAAAATAAAAATGGCGTGTCAAAATAATAGCGTCTAATAATCGTATCGTATTTTTGTGAAATTATTTGTGATAACTTCTTAATAAAACGTTAAAAAACCATTCAAGTCAATAGCCATATGCAAAAACTAATCAATTAACCAATCAATGTGTGTTTCGAACAGTGGAGAATAGAAATAAAGTGAAAAGACGGCATAACCTCTAAATTTCGTGACATAAATATTGGTGGTAATATGAAAGAAGGTAAATTGCCGCCTAAAATGATGGGTGGTGTTGGCGGCAGTAGTGCACCGACAACAACAATGATCCAGTGTTCACCAACGATATCATCGACCTCGTCTAGAGGAGCATCTGCGACGCAATCCAGTCCGGTATCCTCGTCTACGCCGAGCAAGCAGCCCAGTGACGAAATACTTTCCTCCCTATTGAGAATGAACAATTTTGACTCAATATCGAGCATCAAAGATGAGTCTTTGGACATTGACTTGTCGGCTTGTGTAACAATCAGCGCCGATCCATCCGGTATGATAGGAGGCAACAGTTTATCATCTTCGGATTTTTGGAAGGCGCTCGATGAAAGTGCCCAGACATCGCAGTTGGATGTGAGCGGTGGTGGTGTTAGTGGAACAGCGAGTGGTGGCAGCGTTGTTGGTGGTGTCAGATCCCCACCGTCTCCCTCGCCGTCAAGTAATAACAGCATTTTGAATACCAGTGATAAAAGTGATCTGGGTAATGTGATCAAGAAAGAGCAAACTGATTTCAGTGGAACGTTTTTAAAGCCCTCATGTGGCATTACGTTTTCGCCATTGAAGCGTTGCATCAAATCTTCTGGTCCCGAACAACTGCACATGCTGAAGGACAAATCGCCCACCAGATTCACTAAATTGGAGGGACAGAATAACAATGGGCCACCATTATTATCGCCCATAATACGTTTAAATCAGTTTCCAAAGCCGACAGTGGATGTGCCTAGGTTGAACGGAAATACAACTATCAATACCATTGCTAGTGGAACAGTAACCATCAAGAAGGAGTCAATAACAACCAATGAACACTTCGTACAACCTCCACCATTGGCTGCTTTAGATTGCACAGTCAATAAAAACGAAGCAGCACCAGCTAAAATTATACTGGAACCCTTATACAAATGTTTAGATTGTGATGTTGCTTTTCAAGACAGTCAGGAATTGGCAAATCACAACAATCATCGTATCATATACAAATGCATGGAATGCGAACGTGAATTTGATTCAGAACCATCATTAAAGAAGCACTTGAAAACCCATCGACCAATTGATGCCCGCAAGGATGCATGGAAAAAGTGTCCCGACTGTGGAAAGTGGTATGTAAAAATTAGTGTAACTATATGGTGTTTTCCAACTCCAAGATTAATATAAGGAGGAAATTACTTAGGGATATGGGTTGTTTATGGAAATAGCTTAGTTTCCGAATACTCGGTAAGATATAAATATTTGTATTGGGAAGCATCTCAATAAACCTTAAAGGACCCATCAAAATTTGGTTGACCAAGATCCTGTGTTTTCATAGGTTATTGTTGTAGCAGTAGTACATGTAAGTGTTTACGTTCTGCTAATCTGGTTCCAGCTCCAGGATTAGAAATTCGTCTACTTAATTGGGCTGTAGCCAGAGATCTTCTGGAGTGAGTTAGGTAGGTTAGGCTGTGCAAGTGATCATCATTTCTGGCCCTTGCACTTCTTTTAAATAACTTTTGATCCTGAGCATGGAATTAATACCTTGATCTATTGGGTGTCTTTTCCAACCAATATTTGAGAAACCATTTTCTGCCAAACGCTGATTTCCATTTTCACCCATCTGTTGACCAACATTTTCTCCCAAATGTTTACATAAAATCTTAACCAAATTCATTTTATTCGGCAACAAACATGATATTGTGGAAATTCATATAGCTACCCAAAGAAATGTTTGAGGACAAATCATAGGGTGGATACTAAGTGTAGTGATTTATCATTGGATTTATTTTTGCCCTAGTATGACAGCAGTTCCTTGTCATACCTTATTTTTACCAAATCTGGATATCTAATATTTCTTCGTCAAGACTTCTGCCCTAAATTCTTGTTCATGTCATTCGTCACGAATTCTTTATTATGGCATATTATATTGAAATTAACAACCGATTCCAATCACACTTGGCACATCTCAATATTTCAATAAACACAAGATCTGTTGTAAATATGGTAGAGGCAGGGCCATTTCTTCTGGTATCTCCTCCACAAAGGGTCAAAAATTTGAGTATCCATTAAGCTCATAAAACGTGAAATTAACCTCCGATTCTATTTAGACTTGGTACATCTCAATATTTCTATCAACAAAAGATGTTTTATAAAAATGGTCGAGATCGGACAATTCCTTCTGGTACCTCCCCCACAAAGGGGCAAAGTTTCGAATAAATAAAACGATCATAAAATCCGAAATAAGCATCTGGTTCTCTTTATATTTCATTCACATTACAAAATTTTTATTAACCCAAGGTCTAGGGTGAAGATGGAATATATCGGCCCACTCCTTCTGGTACCTCCCCCACAAAAGGTCAACATTTGAATAATTATAAATTTTATAAAATGGGATGGAAGAGTCCGATTGTCTTTAGATCACACACATCACAATATTTTTATTAAACCAAGGTCTAGTGTGAAGATGGGATATATCAGTGCACTCCTTCTGGTCCCTCCCCCATAAATAGGCAAAATTTTGAGTATAATACGCAAAATTAACATCCGATTCCATTCAGATTTTGTAAATCTCAAAATTTCCAATCACACAAGATCTGTAATAAATATGATAGAGATCAGACAATTTCTTCTGGTACCTCCCTCATATAGTGTTCAAGATTTTTGAAAAACAAGCGGTCAAAGAAAGCGGAATAAGCATCCAACTCTCTACAAATGTCACACATCCAAATATTTTTGCTAACGCAAGGTCTGTTGTGAAGATGATATACATCTGACAACCCCTTCTGGTACCCCACCCACAAAGGGTTACAATTTCCAATACTCATATCTGTCATAAATTGCGAAAAAAAATCGGGGATTCTTTACAACCTGGGAAACCTGTGATGAATATGAAATTTATGAGTTTGCATACAATTGGTTTCTTTTGGTTTCGATTTTCTTGTAAATTAGGCCCATACCGATATTTTTAGATGCGTTAGATGAAGTGGAATATTTCGGTTCGCTATATATGTGGCCTCACGCATATTTATACATTTTCCAAAACTTTGTACATATTTCATATAAAGTATAGGAAGTGGTCGATATAGTCCAAATCTGGCACGTTGTAATATTTATGCCCGTCTTAGGTGAGATACGAATTGGTCAATATTGACCAACTGCTCCGGAACCTTCCCCATAAAAAGGCCAACAATTTGAATAATCATAACTCAAGCTGGGGCAAAACCGACAAATATTTGGCTTGGTATCCTCCCCATACATTTGCCCTGATACTGCAAGCTTTGTTTACATATACCTCTCTATAGATAAAAACACTGAAATTCTTCTTTTTGAAAGGTATTGGTTAAAATCTTGGGAGTCAATATTGAACTCATCAAAAGCTACCAGTTAAATCACTACTTCACGTGGAATCACTACCAAATGATTTTACCGTATAGCAGGACCACAAATCAGTAATTAAGTCAATTATTTCATCATTTATTTATTTATTATTTTTAGAAATGATTAGATTTTTTTAAGTAGCAGCAACATATGCTGCACAATATTTCTTTAATATAAATTCTATTCCCTATTTAACGTTATTCCTCTTTTTTCCTTTTAGCCTTAAACTGGGTAGCATGTGGATGCATCGTAAAATACACACAGAGAACAAAAAATACGGCTGTGAAATATGTGGTCAGAAATTTGTGCAGAAAATCAATTTGACCCATCATCAACGTATCCATACCTCAGAGAAACCATACGAATGTTCCGAGTGTCAGAAACGTTTTCAAGAACGTAGTCATTTGCAGCGCCATCAGAAATACCATGCCCAGACACGGTCGTATCGTTGCGAAAAATGTGGTAAAATGTACAAAACCGAGCGGTGTCTCAAAGTCCACAACTTGGTACATTTAGAGCAGCGACCATTCGCCTGCACCGTCTGCGATAAGTCATTCATATCCAATTCAAAATTGAAGCAGCATTCGAACATTCACACCGGAGAGAGGCCATTCAAATGTAACTACTGTCCTCGTGATTTTACAAATTTCCCCAACTGGTTGAAACACACTCGACGTCGTCACAAGGTCGACCATAAGACGGGCGAAATGTTAGAAAACATTCCTTCATATTGTTCCAAGAAATCAACACGCACGCCAAAGGAGAAGAAACCCACTGGAACAGCAGATACTAAAAATCCCTCAAATGCTGCACCAGCAAATTCTGCACCGCCGACCAATCCAAATGTAAATGATCTCAATAGAATGGACACGAGTGATTCCGGCACCACCACCAGTGCAAACACATTTGTTGCTCCTGTTGTTCCTCTATCAACAACTGCAGTCACCGTCGTTTCAAAGGCATCTATGACAACCAGCGTTTCTAATACTGCAGTTGTTAACAACATTGGGCCACCACCGTTGGCCAAAGTTCCGGCTAAACGTAAGAAGAAAATACAACCAGTTGCAGCAAATGCAACAATTAAAACCGAGAAGGATATTGTGGCAACAACGGCAAGTTATATCGTCAGTGCAGCTCCTAATTCACATATTGTGAATATGTCAACGTCAAATGGGATTGGTCCTCCACCTTTGGCTTTGGTCTTCAGTACAAAGCCCATGATGGTTTCGAGTAGTATGTCGGCCAACACAAATGCGCCAATTTCCTCGTCTCCCATCAACAACTCCCCCTTAATGCCCACTCAACAGCCGAATGTAAAAGTTGAGAAAGTTAAAAGAGATCGTAAGCAACCGATGCCAAAGCAAGTGCAACAAGTCCCTCCTCCAATAATTATCAAGAAGGAATTTATAGAGCCAAAGGCTGAACTGCATGCGGCACAAAATGATTCACATCGAACCCCACAGCAGCATGAATCGCAGCAACCACAGACCAAAACCCCATTCCCAGATTTGCATTGTCTGAGTATAACATCGGCTGAGGAGTTAATAATGGAACATGCCCTGGAAATGGAGGAATGTGGTCTATATAAACCGACCTCGGCAGCAGCTGCCACAGTTATGCCCACATTTGCCGAAACTGACAATGCCATATCTTCCGAATCTGTGGCGAATATGCACTTTAAGATCAAGGAAGAGAATCATGATATGGATTTAAAAACAGAGGAATATGGTAAGTTGTTTTTCCGCTCTTATGAATCCTTTGTACAAAAATAAGCAGAACCATTTAAACTTTGTGAAAATAGTGAAAATATTAAATTTACTAAAACTAATTTTTCTTTTCAGATTCCATTAAAAAGAACATATCATCCTTGGAATCATCTCCATTTTCATCACCAGCTTCCATGGAATTTGCTCCTTCATCTGCAGCTACAGCCGATTTCAATCCGGCCAATAATTTTTACTTGCCGCAGTTTACCATCACCAACAATCCAATTATTACCACAAACTCGCAAACAATTGCTGGGTCCATGAAGATGGAAGATGCCAACAGTACAACCACACGACAGCAAGTGCGACAACTAGTGGCAACCAATATCAATGGTGTCCCCGAACTCATACACATAACCAACAACGGTGGCAATTCAAGATTTGTTAAATCAAATATGGTCTCAAATGGTAGCAGCTCCACTGGCGCAAACGATAACACATCATCCTTTATCAATCAACTGTATTTACCGCTCACCGTAAATGCCGGCCCGGTGCTGATGAAGTCCCATCAGGCTCTGCCATCGGTTGATACGCTTTTATTCTCCCATTCGAAACTGGCGCTATTCAACAACCGTAATTTACCAAAACAAGCAACAACTGCTCAACACAATTTGTCCTAATCCAAAGTTGAAACAACTTTTAACTGTAAGACCACGTAAAATTTTATAAAAAATGCTTAGTTCTATTGTTTAATCTTGGAACACTTTGACTTTACTTCCCCCATTTCTATTTAAGTTTTGCAATTGAACGGTCCCCTCGATTACTTGTCAAAAAATATAAAAAAAAACACACATCTTATAAAATTAGAGTCCAACAACATTTCAATACATATGTATATTTTAAGGCCCTTTATTTCATAGTATCACAAAAATTTCCTTCTTTCCAAAAATCAATATGTGGTAGTTTTGTTTAATTTAGATTGTAGTAAAACATAAGCGAACGAATCGAATGTTATATATTAATATATACTATATATTTTTTTGCAAACCAATGTCCTTTAAACATAAGAAAACTTTTTTAGTCTTTGGTAGTTTGTACAAACAATTTTGTAAGAAAAAAAAATACGGTAAATAAAAATATGTTTTTCTCAGATTCATAAATACACATTCAGTTTTTTTTTTTCTGTGACATCATTGATGGTAAAGATGTTTGTCACTTTTTTCGAGAAATTTTCACAGAATGTTTTCTCATTAATGTATAAATGAACACCTTCCAAATCAAAACAAGTAAAATAGTATCAGTCGGTTTTGCCGACTGATGTATACCCCCAGCGATTCAAAGGAGGAGAGCTATTCGTATCTGACATATTCACAACAGATTTTGCGTTAGAAAAAATTATTGAATGGGTGAAATTTGAAGAGAGTTATTTCGTTTATTTCGCTCTCTTTGAGCGCTTTGTTTTTCAAAAATCTTGAACCCTATGTGGGGTAGGTATCAGAAGAAATGGTCTGATCTGTACCATATTTATAACACCTCTTGTGTTTATGGATATATTGAGATCTGCCAAGTCGGAATGGAATCGATGTTAATTTAATTTAGGCGGACGGACGAACATAGCTAGATCGACTCTGAATGTCCTGATGTGGATTTGGTTCAAAGAGACCTGGGGTCTAAAACCGTTAATTCTATGATATATACCCTCTTTAGTTGAGATGTGAATACGCATCCAAACCGAGCCTTTTTAGAAAAATATAAATCAAACCATAGTGTTTAATAACCTACTCCATGTACTAAGTAGTAAAATATAGACCAGAATACCACCCAACAATTTTGATATCGATTCTCAATTTTTTGCATTTCATATCATACTTTTAGGCGCTTCCAACAATATTTGTACAAAAATAGCTATTTTGTAATAAAGTAATATATATTCGATTTCAGCCGAATTAACATTTAATTCATTATAAGTAATCGACAGCTTAAGTTTCCATCATGGTAGAATAAAAGAACTAACTCACATCAAATAAGCACTTGCCCAATGTAAATTCTTACAAAGGCACTGTTTGAACGCCCTATAACTAAACTATCGATAGTATTAATTGCTACGTTCTTGAAATTTTCACAGAGTGAATATTTCGATCTCTAGAAGACTACTTATTTTTTCGAGTGGTTAAAAACCCCCTATCATAGTAGAATCAAGAAGGTAAAGTCATGAAATCATATGAATGCAATTTAATTTGACAACATCTCATTGTCAAAATATGTATTTATAAATGCATTAAAAATACACAAATCAGAGATGGAACCATTTTTCTATTTAGTGAATTTTGACATGGTAAATTACAGAAAATGCAGAGATGGGTATGCTTATTCAAAAGTCAACCTAAACCTCCTTTGTTCATTTCCGAAGAAGCCAGTCGATGACTTAAGCCAGCCAGATAAGCGCTTTATGTATTTCCACCTTAATATAAATTCGCAAAGAAATATATATTTTCTCTTTAATTATAGATCCTCTCGTTTTCGATCTCTAGAAACCATTAATCTTCTTGTTTTCGATCTCTAGAAACCATAAATTTTCTCGTTTTCGATCGCTAGAAACCATAAACATTGACACGGCCTTCAATTACAAAATTAATTTCGAGCAGAACAGAACAACTGCGTACATTTAAAACGTGGAAAACCAAATTAAATCTTACAAAAATGATGAAAATAAATAAAGGAAATTCTTTGTGAATAGGCAGTCAAAAAATTTACGACAAAGTGAGAGTTTTCAAAGCGAAAACCAGCATTACAAGAAAATGAAAAATATCAAATATTGAATGTGGTTTTTGATAGTCTTTACGCTTAATAATACGACGAAGAAGAAGGTATACAATCGGACGGTGTTGGTCGGGGACACAAACTCACTCGCATGCAAGTGGATTTCGAAGCGGAGCGAGCAAATGTTCAGTTGAAAAAAGACGCTTCCCGTGAATCATATCGTCGAACAGTTTTCAGTTTTTCTCGTTTCGTTTAATTTCATTTGAAATCGCAGAGTTCGTCGGATTGCATGTGAAACATATTGGAAAATCCCTAAAAAGTAAAAAATTGAAAACATTAACTGGTGGTTTTTTGACGGGCAAAATTACGCAAATTTAAGCAAAGATAGAAAGCTGGCAGTTGAGTAAAGCAAAAACGCATTTTAAGTTGACGAGTATCAAGTCGATCTCAAGGTTTCGCTGCAATTTTTTTGTATGTGTTCTCAATGCAATTTCGCGTGAATTTCGATGCATTTGTGATGTGATTGCTGAGTGCAGTGGGAGGTATCAGAGGAATCGGGTGTGTTTTCCTTGTTTTCTTTTTCTGGTGACTTAGACACACGGAAAGAAAGAAAGAAAGAAGAGTAAACCAACAGAGCGAACTACTTCTTTTTCATCATCCATCTGTAACCTCATTGCCTCCATTCCATTGTTGTTGGCGTAGTCGTAGTAGTACACACAACACCACGAGACGAGTGTTTGCAATTCCAACTTTCAATAATAATGGATACAATACTTAAATGGTTAAACAAGCCGAAGGTAAGGTTGCTGTTAAGACAAGTCAAACTTAAGACTTGAAAAAAAAAAACTTATTACGGACGTTCGTTGTTGTTGTTGTTATTGCTATTTTTTATATTTCGTTTTGTTTTGTTTCTTGCCTTTGTGTTGGGGATGTGTGAATAAGCGTAAGTGTGTTTGTTGTACGTACACGAGTGTTGGTAGTATCTGTGTTTGTGTGATTACTTGAGCAGCGACCGACTATGGCTGGCAATATCAACAAAGAAAAAAAAAAAAACACAAAAGCAATAACAACAATAACGCAACGGTGGTGAACAAAACAGTAATCATCATGTTTTTTATACGTGTTTTATATTATTTTTCTATATTTTTCTTTCGATTTCTTCGTGATTTACTCATTACGTCTCTTATTGCTTATTCGTCTTGTCTCTTTGTTTGCATTGAATAATTTCCCGTTTTTCATTTGTGTTTTGTGTGAAAAGTACAATGAAACATCAAAACGTCATAAATCCACAAATCCCAACAACGGCAACAACAATCTACAATCTCCATTAATATTACAAAACGTCATAATGAGTAACAACTACAAGGTAACAAAGCAGACAGACAGAGAGACAGACAGTAAGACAACAACAACAATGACAAAGTAATCAAACCATATGCTGCTGTTGCGCTGCCCTCGCTTCACTTCATGCAAAAATACATACAACACTGTCAAACAAATCTCCTCCACTTGGAATTGCGTTGTCTTGTCACATTGTTGTTGTTGCTATTTCTGTCTTGGAACGAAGTTGCCATTAAATAAAATACGTATTTAGGTGGTAACGCAATTAAAAAAGAGGGCAAGCTGCTGTTTGGATTATTTTTAATTTTTACCATATTGTGCAGAAGATTGTTGCTGCTGCTGTTGTCGTTGTTGTTGGCGCATTCTTGTTGTTGCTGCCAACAATTTCCTTCTTTCTTTGGGCTTTGAAACAACAGGTTTTTGTTTGGTATTTTATGTTAATTCCATTCCATCTTCAATTGAAACAAAAAAATGCGTGCTGAGCTTTGAAAGAAAAGGGGTCATTGTTTGGCAATTTCGTTTGTGTCCGCCTAAAAATATGACTAAAATACGAGCCAAAATCACTTTGTCGTTTTGTTTTTCGCTTACATTTTATTCATTTCGTTTCAATTGAAATGTATTTTATTGGCAGTCAGTGCGGGGGTTGAGAGTTGCTGCTGGCTGATGATAGTAGGGCCTGTGAATGTGACGATTCATCCAGAAGTAACAGTGACTCATGTCGTCGATATCAATTAGTCGGGGTTGTTTATTACTAAATTGGGTGGATGCATTTCACTTGCTTTTCATTATTTTTTTGTGGATTGAGATGCAAACCATTTGGAGAGATTACAACTGTTACTACGTCATCGGAGAAATGTATTTGAGTCATACATTTAATCTTCAATCAAAACACTGATTTTGGGGAATATGAGCTCAAACCCATGGAATACATAGGCTTTGAATCATAATGTATCCTGTTGTACATGATAACTTTAGGACAAAACAAGTTAAAAAATATCAGTCGGTTTTCCGTCAGATGTATGCCCTTAGGCAATGTTCGATTAATTTATTATATTTCGACTTCTATGATTCTTCAAACGATTGAACCTCTATCCATCCACGATTGATCTATCTATCCATCCACGGTTGATCTATCTATCTATCCATTTCATATCGGACCCAAAGAAATATGATATAAAAATTGGTTGAGAGAAATATTTAGATATAGCAAGTTGTAAAGAATGACCGACTTGTTTCGCAAGTTATGACAGAAATAAGTATTGGAAATTGTGACCTTTTGTGGGTAAGGTGCTAGAAGGGTTGCATATTTGCTCATTTCACTTTCTTTCAGCGTTTTGTTTTTCAAAATCTTGAAACCTACGTGGGGGGGAGGTACCAGAAAAAATGGTCCGATCTCTACCATTTTTATAACAGATTTTGTGTTGATAAAAAAATTATTGTGGTATGCCAAATTTGGATGGAATCGGATGTTAATTTCTACCATCTTTGTAACAGATCTTGAGTTGATGGAAATATTGAGATGTGCCAAATTTGCATGGAATCGGATATTAATTTCGCGTTATTTGAGCTTCTTGGATATTCAAAAATATTCGGTCCAAACCAGAAGGAGTGGACCGATATATTCCGTCTTCATACCAGATCTTGGGTAAAAAAATATTGCGATGTGTGTAATTTAAAGATAGTCGGATTCTTACATCACATTTTATAAGAGTTATAATTATTCAAAAAGTTGACCCTTTATGGGGGAGGTACTTAATGGAGTCGGTCCACATTTTCGCACCTGACATAGCACTAATGCAAATATTAGGATTTGCCAATTTTCAATTTTCGAACTCGATCTAAGTTTGACAATAATATTACGATGTACCAAATCATCAAATCAGCCAGACACCCAGACAGACAGACAAACGTGCGAACGGATATCGCTAGATCGACTCCAAATGTCCTGCAATGGATTTGGTCCAAAGAGACCTAGGGTCTAAAACCGTTATTTCGATGAGGCACGTTTTGGCTGTATCAAATGATATATACCCCCTCTAGTCATATGGCTGAGGGTATTTTTCAATAGAAAACTGAATTGCAAACTCGAGCACTGCTCGTTAAGAAATCTTCCTCCCCCCTCACTCTCTCTCTCTCTCTCGCTGTTTAATTGAATTCATTTCCAATATGAAATCAATTCTATCAAAAGACACACCATTACTCACTCATCTATTTAGTGATATGGCAATTATCTGTCAGATAATTATTTTGTTTATTTGTGTGTCTTCGCATTATTTGAGCGATATGATAAGAATGCCAATACCAACAACAAAAACAAAGAACAAGAAAATTGTACGTACCCATGTGTTGTTGTTGTTCGATAATTGAATATTTATTTATATTTTTTGTTGGTGGAGCATATGTATCAAACATTTATACGAATTTCGGACAGTAGATTTAATGGGTCTCTATATGTATAAGCTGTACAAACATACCTACATACATATGTATGTATGGATGTTTGTTTGTGGGACAAACAATTCTATTCTATTCATTTGAATGTGTTAAAAAGAACGTATAGCTTTTTGTACTAAATATTATTATGCGGAGTATGGAGAATGGACACAGTGTAGTGGCTTTAATCACGAAAAAATCCTTTTCCTATTAATTTTATGTGTGAATGTGTGTGCGCGCGTAGTTATGTGTCTGTTTGAAGGTTATTTTCATCGTAAGAGTCAGGGGGTGGAGGGTGGTGGCTTTGATTTAAATTTTCAAGTTTATTTAACACCCATCCTTACGTCTGGCTATGACGTCAGCATTTGTCACTTGTGTTTCGTGATGATGGTGATGACCTCAAAACACAGGATATTTTGATGGAGAATTAAAATACACACACACACACATTACCATTTAAACACGAAGATACCCATAATAGGTCACCACTTCAATAACCTATTTAAAGGTTTGACCAAAAATAGCCAAATCACTGATGTTCGAGTTATTGTGTGGTCTATGAACTGAGTAAATTTCATGGTGGCACAGGTGTCATTAGTACCGACATCGATTGGCCGAAATTGTACTTTATACCTTAACAAAAAAATCGATGCTGTTTATTTTGTTAATTATATTGGCCTGGTAAATAAAGTCTCCAGGGCCGTGTGTATTTGTTGGAAGTGGTGGTGTGCGTATTGGCAAAAGGTTTTTAAGTGGGATCGGCTATTAGATTTTGTTCAATTCTCAGTGGGTGGATTTTTTTTTTGGAAAAGCTTTTAATGTAAATCTACCCTTCGTCCTAGTCTCTATTTAAAATTTTCAAAATAGCTACATACCTATGAAAGTACACCTTTGACCATTTCGACCATTTGAAAATATCAGCCACATTTTTCATCTAAACGCTGCTTGAATATTGCTCTGCGATATTTTGGCCCATTCCCGGCGAAGCGCTTACTTGAGGTGATCCCAAATACTCCTGACACAATAGTTTTCCCAAATACTCCTGACACAATAGTCCAACGGATTGGTATCCGGAGATTTTAGTGGTCATTGGGAAATGAAATGATGTGGAAATGAAGAGAGGAACATCATTTTGTAACCATTCTTGGGTGGCGAGTACTGAGTGCGATGATCCTGAGTCCTGTTAGAATGTCCATGGTCTGCGGCCAAAATGTTTGCATGCCCAAGGCTTTAATACACCCTCCAGAATATTTTCGCGATAATATTCGGCATTTATTCTGATGCTACGGTCGATTAATTCGAACGGAGAGCGACCATCGGTTGTTATGGCGGCCCACACCATCGCCATGGCCGGCGCTTGAGTTCTGGTGGCCAATCGACTGGACAACAAATGTTTTTTCATCGGAGAAAACCAAATTCGGCAGCTCACCACTTTCGGCCAAACGAAGCAACTCTGGCTCATTCATTTTTCAATGGAGTATTGCCGAATGGAGTATTGCGATATGTTCAGCTCACAAACCATTTTTCGGTCATTGTGTCGCGGTTTTCTATCAAGTCGCTTCTGTACTTTTCGAACCATTTTTCGGGCATTGTGGCGCGGGTTACAATGAAGTAGCTTCTTTACTTTTCGAACCATTTCTGCTGTTGTTACCGTCCACTTCCTTGACGTTGGGATATGCTACCAGTATCATGGTACCGAGCGATGGTACGAGACACAAGATTTAATCACATTTAAATGCTGGAGTGTTCTAACGATAGCCACTTGTGGTTTTCCGGTCAGATATAAAGAAATCACACTATCACGCTTAAATTCCATCACGAATAACTTTTTTTTTTTGGAAAATTCTCAACAAAATGCTTTTGTACGCTTGTAAAGAATACAATTTTAACAGCTGTCGTACGAGATGCTTAGAAATTACATCGGTCTGAAGTTGCTTGCATTTTTTTCATCTCACCCTGTATATCTATATCAATTATAGTACAATTATAGTACACATTTCCGAAACCACCTCCATATTTCCAGCTAAACGTGAACAACGACCCTAGTACCAAATTTCAGATTTCATGCACTGCATCTGTTCACCTTGATATTGGGTATTGTACCAAATAAAGTACTATTTCGTACTTTTCGTGCACTTCAGAAAACCACCTCTTTAAAAACCTACCATCCGGTTTGAAAAGTTATTTCTAGCACAAAGTCGGGACTTGATGTAGATAATATGAGAAAAAATATCCGAATGTGATGCATATACGTGTTTAATTCCTAAATAGAGGGTTATTCTTGGTCTTTTGTCAAAGTAGGATATATCCTTAAATAATACGTTTTCAATAAATTTGTTTTTCCTCGTTGAGTCTTGCGGAAATCTTATTATATTTGACCCCGCCATACATGTTCCACCATTTTGGGTGATATATTTAAAAGTGAAAACGAAAAACAAATCTTTCATTTCCTACTTTATGGGTAACCTAACTAAATACATGTTTGTGTGCCGTAAAAACATTCACTTCTTTTATGACTCTACTAAGCAATTACGCTTTAAATTTTCCACACTTCTAAAGAACCAATGTTTGTTATAAAGTAAAAGTGAAATTTTGTTGCTAAATCATAGGTTAAGGTTTTATCTTTGTTTGCGTCGCCACTCGAAAGAGAAAAGTTAGCAATTACACATTTTTATGTATTTTTAGATGAGTGACTTTGGTAAAGAAACCCCTCCTGAGTGGTGGATGGAAGTGGAAAAGCAAACTCCAAGGGTTCATTAACTTGAACATTTTTGGCAATGCGAAATTTATATATTATGTGTTTCATTTTTTGCTTTTGTTTATGCACACACACATTGTGTACCGAGCGCGTGTAGGGAGGCAATGCTTGCAATGAATTGTTAATTACATTTTATTCCGTCTTTTGATTAATAAATTACTTTAGAGTTTGTTTTTGTCTGTTTGTAAATAGAAAAAAAAAACTAAGCCATGCAAATATAATATAAATTCCAATAAAGAACAAAGTAAATGCTTTCACACAATCACAATTAATTCCAATAATAGATTAATAATACCTAGCTGTCTTGCCTACCTACCTGTTCTTAGAATATATTTACATTTCTAAATACTGTTTTTGTTTATTTTCCCCCGACCCATTATAGTTTAAGTTTCTGTCAAGATAAAAAAGTTATTTTTCCATTTGAAATATTGATGCACATATTATTTTGAGCAATAAAATGCATTATTTGTTAGAAAATCAAGACACTTGAGATTACTTCAATATTTTTTATTTCTATAGCTTTTTGGCCACAGTAGACTTTCTATAAGAATATTTAATACAAGTTTAAACTAAGTTAAATGATCTACAAAATCGTTCCATTCCTCCTGAAACTTTCCGGAATCCTTTTCCAATCAAAAGAAAAAAACGGGTTTAGTCCGTAATATGTATTTTTATGAAGGTTAGACCCAGTTCGAGTAGGGATCAATATTGACTCACAATTTCTACAACATATCAAATACGACGAAGATTGTTTAGTAGTGGGATTCTCCAAAATTTTTTTTTCGTCACCAACAAAAGTCGAAAAGTTTTCATAAACGAGTAAAATAGTATCAGTCGGTTTTGCCGACAGATGTATACCGCCAGCCTTGAGTTATGATTACTCAAACTGTGGACCCTTTATGGGGAGCCGTTGGTCAATATAGACCAATTTGTGTCTGGCCTAATACTGATAAAAAAAAAATATTACAACCTGCCAGATTTGAACTATATTTGGACTTCCTCTACTTTTTATGAGAGAGATTTTTGAAAAAAGTGGAAATATGCGTGATGTAACAGATATAGCGGACCAAAAATATTCAATTTTCATACCTCATCTAATATAGATAAAACAAGTAAAATAATATCACTCCGTTTTGACGACAGATGTAAACCCCGAGCCTTGAGTCATGATTATGGTGGAGGTTCTGAAGCATTTGGTCAATATTGACCTATTCGTATCTGACCTAGGACTCATAAAATATAACAACATGACAGATTTGGACTTTATCGACCACTTCCTATACTTTATATTTCATACTTTATCTAACACGATAAATTACATATTCATATCAGGTTTCTGGTTGAGAGAAAAATTTAGATATAGCAAGTTGTAAAGAATCGCCGAGTTGTTTCGTAAAGTTATGACAAATATAAGTGTTGGAAATTGTGACCCTTTGTGGATATCATCTTCACAACCGTCGCGTTAGCGAAAATATTTAAATGTCTGAAATTTGAAGAGAGTTGGATGCTTATTTCGCTTTCTTTGAGCGTTTTGTTTTTCAAAATCCTTTATCTTTTTTTTTAACAGAAGAAATGGTCCTTTCTGTATCATTGTGGGGTAGATACTGGAAGTAGTGTGTCGATATATCCCAATTTCACACCAAACCTCGGGTTAATAAAAAATTTGGGATGTGTGTAATTTGAAAAGAACCGTATGCTTATTTCGGATTCTATGACCGTTTTGGTTGTTCAAAAATTTGACCCTTTGTGGGGGAGGTACCAGAACAAATTGTCCAATCTCTAACATCTTTATAACAGATCTTGTGTTTATAGAAATATTGAGATGTTCCAAGTCTGAACAGATTTCGTGTTTTATGAGCTTCATGGATATTCAAAATGTTGACCCTCTGTGGGAGAGGTACCAAAAGGAGTGGACCGATATATTCCATCTTCACACCAGATAATAAAAATATTGTGATGTGTGTAATTTGAAGATAATCGGACACCTACATAATATTTTATAAGAGTTATAATTATTCAAAAAGTTGATCCTTTGTGTGGAGGTACTCGATAGAGTGAACTGAAATTGTCCATTTTCGCACCTGACCTAGCGCTGATGCAAATATTGGGATTTCCAAAGTTGGAGCAAAATCGGATTATCCTTTCTCTTTCTGTGCAGTCAATTATTTTCTTTGGAAATGTTTTAACCTTTGTGGGGGAGGTACCAGAAAGAGTGGACCAATATTGCTCATCTCCGAACTCGATCTAAGTTTGTATCAAGTTTTGGTCAAATCGGATACTCTCTTTGAGAGTTATCCTGCGCACCAGCTAGTCGGACAGACGGACGGACATCGCTAGATCGACTCCAAATGTCCTGAAACAGATTTGGTACAAAGGGACTTAGGATTTAAAACCGTTTTTTTCGAAGAGGCATTTTTTGGCCGTATCAAATGATATATACCTTCTTAGCCATATGGCTGAAGGTATAAAAATTGCTATTATCGACACATTTTTGCTGCTTTTATGGGTCTTCTGAAGTGAGTGGGGTAAGTTTGGTATGTCTTGTATTACACGCCGGGCAGACGTTTCGCACATCTTCGTCAATTCGTGCCAAATTGAAATGACTGCACCACCCTCAACGTAATTGCGCCAAAACCTGTTGTTTGAGGAAGCCGAAGCCGACGTTCTTCATCTGCAATGGATGGGGGAGGACTCCATGAGCGGCTTCTGTGACTGCTTCAGCGTGAATTCCACTCAGAACTGTCTGATGGCTTTTTGGTCTGTAGGCTATCTGTTGTAGCGTTGGATCTTCCTCTCTAGATCATGTTTGTCCTTCCTGACACGCCCGAATAGCGGAGTATTATACACCAAATGATGGTTTGGGTGAATGCCACTATAACTCCCAAGCAGGTACTGCTGACGTATGACAAGGACCTTCGCTCCACCAGTGGTGTCATGAGAAAGTGTCATGAGAAGGCACTCTGTCGCAGTCCTCAGGGTCTGAATGTTCTTCCACTGTGTAGCACTTCTGTCCACATACCACACTGGGGCCGCATAAGTTACCACAGACCGACCTATCGCTTTATAAGAGGTTAACAAGATATCCTTCGTAACCCAAGTGCTGCCGTCTAGCTCCTTGAGGACCTTGTTCTTACTTTTCTTTTTCTCGATACTTATCAATTTTAATACTTCAAAAAGGCCAATATAAATGTACATTTGACAACTGGCCTTGCTGTATCATCTTGTAAAAACATCTCAAGTCTGATGCCTAAACTTTTAAGAATTGATTTCAATATCCTCGATGATTTTCTTTTCTGTTTTTTATATTTAAGAAAATATATTAATTTTTTATTTATTTTTGTTTTTTTTTTCACTATTTTTAGGCAGATGATAAATCGTTACTTGCTCGATTTTTTCATGCTGATCGCGCTCTAGCAGCAGTAGCAAGTGAGCTAGACAGTTTCGATGGCCGAGCTGAACCGGATCGATGTTCCCGATTAGTCTCCCGGCTTCGTCAAGGACAAGTGAGACTTAAGCATTTCTAAAACTCTAGCTCCACTCCATTAATATGCTCCCCTTCTTCTTCTTTTTTTGCCATTTAAGGATAAAGTTTTGGCCATTACAAACCTAATCATTGAAGAGCTACTGGGCGATGAACGTGACCAACGGGCATTTCGAGCCAAATTTCCCGAAGAAGTCCTTCAAGAGAATTTAGCCGGCCAGCTGTGGTTTGGCGCCGAATGTCTTGCCGCCGGTTCATCGATTATGAATCGCGAACAAGAAAGCAAAGAAATGCGCCCCCTGGCCGAGGCGGTAACGCGCAGTCTGAACAATGTACGCCATCTGTTGCGCGACCAATGCTTGCGCAACAATGTTCCGAATAGTGAACGCTTAAATTTGGATAAAAATGATGCTGCCACCGAACAATTGTACGAGAGTTTGAAACGTTTTGATCGTTTATTTGCCGAATTCGAATGGCGCTATGTCAGCGCCATGGTCCAGGTGAAATCAAAGGAGGAATACGAAATGCAAGAGTTAATATGTGTCCTCTGTTCGGAGACCCTACAGAGAGCTTTAAAACTTGGCCTGTTGGAGCAGGAGCAGGTTGATGCTTTTGATCCGGCATTAATGTTTTCTATACCGCGGCTGGCAATTGTTGCCGGCCTAGTCATATATCCCGATGGTCCTCTGAATATGGATATGCCAGCTGAGGAATTATCGGAAATGTTTCGACCATTTCGTAGCCTATTGATCAAAGTTCGCGAGTACTTGAGAAATCTCAATGAAACGGAACTGTTTTATTTGGAGCGTTTGCTCTGCACCAATGAAGAAATAAGTTTAAAGGTATTTCCCTACCTTTTGTTTTTGTAATTGTATTTGTTGTGATCTTTTTCCTCTGATTTTCAGGACACATTGAAAGCAAAACAAACAACATTAGTAGACAATAATAATGAAACCAACACTAGCAAATATTGTGGAGTAGCAAATAGTGAAAAAATCGACAAGGAAGATACAGCATCCTTACAACAAAACAATACTACCTCCAAACTACAACAACAACAACAGCAACAACAAAAGTCATGTAAAACGTTTAAGACAAAAAACAACGGTACCACCAATAGGAGAGCAGACAGTCCCTCGCCCGCACCGTCCACAAGCAGTTCATCGGATGATTGTTCTCCATATACAACACCCCTTTCATCCACACCCTCATCGCCAAGGTCTACACATTCGATGGCCTCCACTACCACTGCCGAGGAAACGAGTGGTGGTACAACATCTCCAGACAGTTGGATGGCCAATGACGATGTTGATGTCCATGAATATGACGACCACGACCACGATGATGATGACATAGATGCTCACTATGCTGACGATGATGATTCGGATATTAACTGTGATGACGACGATAGTGACGATGATGAGGATCACGTCAATGACGACCACCTATATGATTTGAACAATGTCGTTGAGCAAATCATAAATTTGGAAATAGCCTCAGCTGATTGTGCCTCTGGCTATTTAATCTCTAATACCACATTGGGTAATCTTTTGCAGCCCCAAGAGGTGCCTTTAACGGACAATTTTGTAGTAAGTGATTCGGATTTGCCCAATCAAGATGATTACAATGATAATCACGAAGTTGAGATGCCCTCGACGAGTGTCAGGGCTTTTACTTCCGCTGAACAGACGGAGAGGCAAGAACAACAGCATTCTAGCAACGAACAAGCAAATCGAGACAACAACAATTCAGCAGCTGTTGCCACCAACAGCACTAGTTTAAGTTTACAAGACTCGGATATCTCCGTATCGCTACAAAGTTCACTAAATCCATCCAATTCGTCAACGGTCCAACAACTGGGGCACAGACGTTATAGCGATGCACCACAGACATGCAGCAATGATAATCAACAACCACAACGAACCCATCATCGTCATCACCACCATCATCACAGGCATCATCATCACCATCATCGTCATCATCAGCATAACAGTTCGACAACGGCAAGTGCAGCGACGGCATCATCGGCACCCCAACTATCAACAGCGACTGCGAACAGTCGGAAACAGCATCACTCAAACCAAAGTCATCATAACTCATCGACGACAACATCAGCTTCGTCGTCGTCGACCCATTGTCGTCGTCATCATCACGCTCATCATCAGCGTCGTCCGCATCGACACGGTGGCGACAGGCATGAGCCAAATGCCACCGGCCCATTGCCGTGCGTTGAATGTTCGACAAGTACGAATAAACCCAAAGATGATGTTACTATATCAGATAGTAAAGCTGCAACATCATTGGGTTTGGACATAGAGACGCCGTCGTCATCTTCATCGCTTTTAGAGGATAATAAAACTGTGGTCAGATCTGGAGGACGTATGAAATTTAAGTAAGTAGTACGACGGATATTTCTTAGTTTTTTACTACATGAGGAGACGTAATTCTGGGACATATTGCATTGGAGCCACTTTGGTTAGAGATTATTTCAAATATTACATTCAAAGGAAGGAAGGAATCGCAAATATAAGTATTGGAAATTGTGACCCTTTGTGGATGAGGTACCCGAAGGGGTTGGCAGATAATATCATCTTCATAACAGATCTTGCGTTAGCAAAAATGTTTGGACGTGAGAAGATGAAGAGAGTTGGATGCTTATTTCGCTTTCTTTGAGCGTTTTGTTTTTTCAGATGTTAATTTCGCGTTTTATGAGCTTCATGAATACTCAAAATGTTTACCCTTTCTGGGGGAGGTACCAGAAGTAGTAAACCGATATATCCCAACTGAACAGCAGACTTTGGGTTAATAAAAATATTGTGATGTGTGTAATTTGAGGAGAAGCGAATGCTTATTTCGGTTTTATTGATCGTTTTGGTTATTCAAAACTTTGAGCGTTTGTTTGTAACAGATCTTTTGTTAATGGAAATATTGGGAAGTACCATGAATATTCAAAATTCTGACATTTTTGGACCGATATATTCCATGAAGTGGACCGATATATTCCATCTTTACTCCAGACCTTGGGTTAATAAAAATATTGTGATGTGTGTAATTTGGAGATAATCGGACTCTTACATCACAATTTATAAGAGTTATAATTATTCAAAATATTGGCCCTTTGATGGAATGGACCGATATTGTCCTTTTTCGCACCTGACCTATCACTGGTGCAAATATTAGGATTCCCAAAGTTGGAGCAAACTTGGATTATCCTTTCTCTCTCTGTGCGGTAAAGGAGTGGACCGATATTGTCCAACTCCGAACTCGATCTAAGTTTGACAATGATGCTACGATGTACCAAGTTTCGATCAAATGGGATACTTCCTTTGGAAGTTGTCGTGCGCACCAGCCAGACAGACGGACGAACCTCGCTAGATCGACTCCAAAATTTCCTGAAATAGATTTAGTCCAAGAAGACCTAGGATCTAAAATCGTTATTTCGATGAGGCACGTTTTGGCCGCATCAAATGATATATACTTTCTCTAGCGATATGGCTGAGGGTATCTTAAAAAACGGTTAAATTAGTCGGGGGAAGTTGTAATCGCATTTAAGACTGCATAAACTCTGTCTCCGGTATGTGTGGTTTGAAAATTTCAAAATATTACTAAAATCTTTTAAAGATGTGTCAGCAGCGAGTTTTCGAATGTGTACATTACTAATTTGTAAGGTGCTAATTATTTAGTTAATTCGACAACTTTTTCATCGACCACAATGGAATAACATGCAATGCAAATAAATGTGCTGCTAACATTGACCACTCCTCAATAATTTACTTCTTTTTACCACAAATAAAATCCTATAATTAATTTGCTTTTTGCTTTTTCTACATTCATTTTAGGAGCACTGAAAATCTGCTGCATCGTTTGTTTGTCTCAATTGCCGGAGTTGCTGATCAGTTACAAACTAACTTTGCATTTGATTTACGTCAAATATTGCGCAGTGTGTTCCTAATCAATATGTCGCCGGCCCTAGAAGAGCTCGACATACCAGAGAAACCGAAAGAGAATGAACTGTTTGAATTTCGGGCTTCGGAAAATGATGTGATACAGGAGAGTGCTGGCTCCAGCCAGAGCATTTACTCGGCTGAAGAAGTTAATCCTGAAGGTGATAATCAAAGTCAGAATAGTAACAGCAGCAGTAATAGTGGTAATAGCAGTGGCAGTTCCAATGATAGTAACCGGGTATATCGGCATTCGACGGGTAGCACTGCTGTTGTCTCACCACCAACACATTCTGCGGCTACGGTAGCCAGTGCCGCACTTCAACGTCAACAAATTGAACGTAGTCGTAGTCTGGATAATCAACAGATACTACCAAGCACGCACCAAAATCAAAGCACTCCTCCGCCACCCTCACAACATTCAGAACAAAATCACCAAGTGTATAGGAATCGTCATCATTCAACGGGTAGCAGTACAACACCATCGTCATCGGAAAATAATTCGCCTGTTTGTGAACGGTCCACAACAGCAACAACAACGGGGACAACGACGGCGACAAATGGAGGCGGAGGAGTCCATCGTCGTGTATCCGAATCAAATGCAAATAGTATGCCACCACAGCAAACTGCGCCGACATCAAGGCCGGTTCATTTGTCGCCACCTGCTTGGATACCGGATCAGAAGGCGCCACGTTGTATGTCTTGTAACACTCCATTTACTGCATTTAGACGTCGTCATCACTGCCGCAATTGTGGTGGGGTATTTTGTGGTGTTTGTTCAAATACCTCGGCCCCGTTGCCCAAATACGGTCTAACCAAGGCTGTGCGTGTGTGTCGTGCCTGCTATGTTCACGAGTTAGGGCCCAATTCAAATGGTAATCCCCAAAACCAATCGCCACAACATCACCGCCACCAACACCACCAGCCCCACCACCAGTTAGTTAGTCAAACAGCAACAACCAACAACGAACCTTCCCGTTTGCGTCGTCCTGTTACAACTACTAGAGCCTTTGATTAGTAGAGAATTTTATTTGTTTTATGCTTATTTATATGTTAATGTGTTGTTTTTTTTTGTTTTCTCGGTTAGGTAGTTTCCCTATGAAGTTATAAAGAGGAAGTGTTGATGGCAAGGAACGGCAAAGTTGCAAAATTTTAGGGTTCAATTTCTACGGCTTTTGTCCTTCTGGATTCAATGTTTAGTTTTTTTTTTATCAAATCTGACAATTTATATTGGTGTAATATTTGAGTAGGAACTTTTTAGGTATTGATATAGAGTTAGATTTTTTTGAACTTAGAATTGAAAAATTTGTTTTATCTTCGAAATGCTTTTATTTTTTTCACTGAAATCTATTTTAGTATAATGAAAACTGATTTATTTTAATTGGCACCTTGTTTTGTTCTGAATAACCTGTAGAGATATAACAATTTCGCCCTTTTTCGTTAATAAGTTATTTGGCCAAGCTGTAAACACCCCTCATATTATCAGATTAACATAATTTTTTATGATCCATCATAAATTTTTTATTTAGAATCCAGTGGATTTCCACTTTCAATACCATTGTGTGTATGTCAAATAAAATCCGTTGGATTTTCATATTTGACTTATGTGAGAAAGAGTTGACAGTAATGCAACTTTTGAAAGAAAGACAGTTTTCAACAAATTCTTTCAACTTTTGATTATTGGTAAGGTCCAGAACTACAAGGATGTAAAAGTTTTCCCTACGATTGCTAATTTTTCCCTTATTAAGATGTCAAAAAAAAAATTGCAAAACTAGTATATTCCTGCAGTATCTGGAAGAGATCATCTGTTTTTATATCAACAAGCATTTGGAGTTTAAACTCTGATATTCGATATCTAATTAATTTGTTATACCATCAGAAATTGATGCTTGGTTTATTTGTTTATTAGGCATTACTCCACGATTTCCCTGAAGGATTTTTTATGTATTTCAAATTAAAAGAGTATCTTGACAGAAGATAGTAATTCGTTTTGATAAAGACATCCAATTCGCCATGTTCCTTTGCCAGTTAGAAGCACTTCCAAACATAGAAGCAAACAAAAAAATGGGTTTGGGATAAAATAACTATTTTGTTTAGCTTTATTATAAAGTGTTATAATTTCTTCAATATTGAATTTGTGTTAATATCATTATTATTTGTATTTTTACTCAAAACACAATCTCTACCATCCGAACATGTTTTTTTTCTCGTTAAGATTGAACTTCCCTGTACAGTTGCGTTTTTTGTCGGTACCTTTTTTTGTTGGTAGAAGTTTTCCAATGCCCAAACTAAGATCTGTTGTAAATTTTCCATACATTTACTTTTTCTTTGTCAAGAATTTGTAATAATTCGTTTTTGTTCTCGTTTTATTATTATTACTATTATTATTATTGTATTTACAAATATTCTTTTTTTATATAATTATAGGACATACACAATATGATAATGTGTAGTAAAATGTTTAGTGTATATTATTAGAAATTGAAATGAGTATATAATCATAATTCAATGTGAATAAATTTACTTTTTTTTACATAAGACAATTAGACAATAACAAATTTCAATTTGTTGTAAAACGTATTCAATAATAAAAATTAAAAAAAAAAAAATCTAAAATTATTTGTTTTATTTGATCCTATTTTTATATTTATCCAGAAATTATCTTGAATTAGAGTTTTATAAAACTACATACATATTTAGGGAGAGATGAAAAATTGCAACCAACTTTAGACTGCTGTCATTTCTAAGCCACTTGTCCGACAGCTGTTAAAATTATTCCAGTGACAGCTCATTATATTGTTTACAAGCGTACAAAAGCATTTTGGTGAGAATTTTCCAGAAAAAAAGTTATTCGTGATGGAATTCAAGCGTGATAGTGTGATTTCTTTATATTTGGCTGGAAAACCACAAGTGGCTATCATTAGTGCACTTCAGCATTTAAATGTGTATAAATCTTTTGTGTCTCGTACCATAGCTCGTTACCGTGATAATGGTCGTCAAGGAAGTGGATGGCAGAAAACAGCAACATCAGCATGGTTTGAAAAGTAAAGAAGCTACTTGATCGAAACCAGCGTCGCAGTGGCCAAAAATGGCACGTGACCTGAACATATCGCAATATTCCATTCGGCAAATATTGAAAAATGAGCTCGGGGTAAAGCCATTGAAATTCCAAAAAGTGAAAGAACTTACACCGCAAGAGAAGGAAAATAGACTCAAAAGAGCTAAAGAGTTGTTTCGCTTGGCCGAAAGTAGTGAACTGTCGAATTTGGTTTTCTCCGATGAGAAAACATTTGTTGTCCAGCAGTTTGTAAACAAACAAAATGATCGTGTTTACTTGCCAAAAAGATCAGCTGAAAATGTGCCCCTTCAGTTGGCCACCAGAACTCAAGCACCGGCCATTGGGCAAGCAAACATTTTGGCCACAGACCTTGGAGATTCCAACAATACTCAGCACCATCGCACTCAGCACGCGCCACCCAACGATGGTTAAAAAATGGGGTTCCTCGTTCATTCATTTCCAGCGCACAAAGGCCACCAAAATCTCCGGATACCAATCCGTTGGACTATTGTGTCTGGAGTATTTTGGAAGGCAAAAAATACCAAAGTTTCACCTCAAGCAAGCGCTTCGCCGGGGATGGGCCAAAACACCGCAGAGCAACATTCGGGCAGCGTGTGAACGTTTCATTGGCCGTTTGAAGGCCATAATTCGTGTCATCTCAATGAGGATATTTAAGAAGCCTACTGCTATATGTCCTCGGTGAGACATTTTAAATGTGCTCGATTAGACATTTTGAATGTCTCCGGAGGGCTATCTACTCAGAGAAAATAATTTCAAAATCATGAATTTTCTGTTTTTAGCAGAACTAGCTACACCTGCAAACCTTTTTTAAGGAGTTTTCTATTTTATTTAAAGAAATATATGTCTGGAGAATTATTGTTGTCTATTGGAACTAAAAAAATAAAACAAAATAAAAACACAGAAATTTCCCCCCACCAAATATGCCGCCAAAAATGAAATTACCCCTCGCAAAGGCTGGAGCTGGCGGCGGTGATGGCAAAAAAGGAAAGAACGGCAAAAAGAAGCAAATTATTGAGCCCGAGCCTGAGCCTGTTCTACAAGATTCGGATACTTCCTTCTTGGAAAGAGAAGTCGATTTGATAACCGATCTTAATGATGACTTCTTTAATCGGGCTAATAAGGTATTTATACTGGATTGATGATTGCATTGACATAGTTAATAATTTATCTCTTCTCACCAACATAGACCATACAAATGCTAATGGAAAAAGGAAGGACTTTCGAAGCTTCCCGCATTAAAAAGTACACCGACATTATTTACAATCTGCATCGTCGTTATGTGGAACAGCTTAAAGAGAATGAAGAGTTGAGGCCGCAAGTCATTAGGGCGGAAAATAAATTTCGTTTAGCCTTGGAATTGACAGCTACTTCGGAGGAATCAATGGAATATCTAAAGGAAGCCTTGGGTAAATACATATTTTTTTAAATGTTTAATTTTCTCATCACATTTTTTCGAATAAGTTAACTATAATAAATTCTATTTCCATTCAAAGGCAATGCATGGAAAGAGTCGGACGCCTCCCAGACGCGAGAACAAGAAATCCAAGAAAAGTTCCAAGAGATTCTCATGAAATGTGAAACATTTGAGAGCAAGCAGGCGGAGAAACAGGATGATAGTGCTGAGTATTAAATAAGGCCATTATTTAGAGGCGGTGGAGATACAAATAACGCATTTTTTGCTCTCTTAGATTTGGCCATTTATCCAAATACAAGAATATCATTTTACGTGAACGTGATCGCATCAATGGTGAGGTTATTGATTTGGAAAAACGCCTACAAATTCAACGCTACTACTCTGAATCGTTGGAATATATAATTCACACCCATGAGGATACACTGAACAAGATGGGTGTTCGCGTCAAAGTTTTGGCATCGGAGAAGCAAAATTTGGACACAAAAATACGCACTCTAATGAACAATTTGGAGGATCAAAAGGAAATCAATCACAAGACCATGGATAAATTGGATGCAACCACAAAGGAGGTAAACAAATTTATGTTTGTTCGTATTATCTTTGTTTTGAAGGGTGGCTAGGGCTCTAAAAGACTAATTTGGAAAATATTCAGTTTCGTAATCTTAATCTATTTTTTTATATCCTCTACCATACATAGTATGGTAGAAATAAAGTAGGTTGCTAAAATTTTACTCAAATGTATATTATGCCTGCAGGACTTTTGGTATTGAAAATGAGCCATGTAGGTCCACGTTTTGGTATAGCCCCCTTTTAATGGTACCTCCCGATTTTCGATACTTTGATAATTTTAGCGACATTATTCACCGGAATCGTTTCAAATTCGGTATTTAAAGTTCGTAATGGATATTACTGCCTATGACAGAAAATTGTTTGTGCAGGTCCATGCCTTCGTATAGCCCGCCATATAACGGCACTTCCCGATTTTCGGTATTTTGATGATTTTAGCCACACTATTTTCCTAAAATGTTTCAAATTTGGTATTTAAAGTTCGTAATGGATATTACAGCCTATGACAGAAGATTGTCTGTGCAGGTCCACGCCTTTGTATAGCCCCCCATACAACGGTACCTCCCGATATTCGGTATTTTGATGATTTCAGCGATAATATTCACCGGAATTGTTTCAAATTTGGTATTTGAAGTTCGTAATAAACACTAAAGTCTGTGACAGAAAATTGTGCAGGTCCCGGTCTTCGTGCAGCTGTCATATAACGGTACCTCCCGATATTCGGTATTTTTATGATTTTAGTGACGTTATTCACCAGAATTCTTTCAAATTTGGTGTTTGATGTTCGTAATGGGTGCTACAGCCTATCACAGGAGATTGTTTGTCAGGTCCACGTTTTGGTATAGCCCCAATATAACGGTACCTCCCTATATTCGGTATTTTGATGATTGTAGCTACATTTATCACCTTTTTTTAAGTTTCACATTTGAATATTGTAATGCCTATGCAGGTCCACGTCATCGTATAGACCCTAATATAACGGTTTCGTTTGGTATTTTTAAGATTTCAACAGACTTTTTAACGGATTTTATTTTTTTTTTTTTTGAAAATTGCTAAATTCGTTCCAAATGGAGGAGGGTATTGAAAGTTCTCTGCTTTTTTTCTTTCTTTATTTTTTTTTTGAAAATTCTCTATTTTCCAGCTCAATGACACCATTGCCTCCCTAAATAAAAAATCTGGAGAATATGATCGCCTGAAAATAGCTGCTGATAAATTGAAAAATGACAATGGCCTACAGGCTAAACAATTGGCAAAATATGAAGATGAAATTGCCGATTTACATAGAGAGCAAAAAGAGGCCGACGATACAATTCGAGCACTACGCTTGGAGGATAAAGTCAAGGGGCATACCATCAATCAATTGACAAATAAATACAAAAAGGCAGTGCAAGATCACAGCTCCGTTTCCTCAAAGCTGTACAAAATCAATAGGGTCAACAATGGTCTGAATGAGGACATTGTAAGGATGAAGTAAGTAATTGGTGAGAGTGACAAAATTGTTTGAGAATTAGTTTAATGTATTTTTAATATTTCAGAAATCAGGCCAATTCCTTGGAAAAGGATCTCTTGAATTCGGCACAAAAATTCGATGAATTACGTCGTTTGAAGGATAATATCCAAAGGGAACGGGATAATCTGAGGAGCGATGTTACCAAGCTGAATAATCAAATTGCCGATTTACGTCACACCATAATGATGCAGAGCAATACCATAGACAGTCTGCGTTTGGATATCAATAAACTGAATATAAAAGTGGATGAGGCTAAAATCAATATTGCCAAGGCGGAAAAGGAGCGGGATGAAATGGCCCAAGAGGTTGAGATGTTGCATGAAAAAATTGAGTATTATCAAGGTTAGTGGATTTGTTGCTCAAAATCTTCTGTCATCGTCCTCATTCTGTGTTAAATCCTCATTCCCTTTCCAGAACAAATACAATTGAAAACTGGCCAGATAACGGATCTCACCGAGAAACTTCAACAAAAGCAACATGACTTGGTAAATATGAAAAAACAATTGGAAGCAGTACACTCGGAGAAGATGATACTTCAACGATCTTTGGAGACCTGTACACAGGAGCGGGACAATTTCAGGCTTCTGCAAACGGTATGCAGACATGATTTCCATTTTTTTCTCAAAAAAAATTAGCCATAATTTTGCATTTCAGAAAACTTCCCATCAAATCACCCAACTAACAAATGAAATAGCAGCCAATCAGAATAAAATCAACTCTCTCAATTTACGCATTGAGCATTTGAATACGGACAAAAAAGAACTGCAGTCGGAAGTGAGAAATAAAGAGAATCTCCTGAACGGCGTTCGCAAAGATTTGAAAGAGATGAAATTGAAAAATGAACATCTCATGAAAACCATTTCCGATGATGAATTGAAGTTCATGAAAATATCACAGGAATTGGAAGAGACGCGCAAAGAGAGGAATCTAATTGGCCTGCAAATGGTTAGACGTAACGATGAGATTGTCTTGTTGAAAGAGAAATTGTGTATAACACAAACGGCTCTGGATCAAGGTGGGTCTTTGGATTTTAATTGGTGTACCTATTCCCTATAAAAATATGGGTACTGTGTAGAGATCGTATGGATCTAGGAATCTGTGATCTGTCGACATATAAAAGAGTAGTAAAATAAGTAACTGACCGATTGACAATCAACTCCCAGACGAAACGACGGAACCTAAAATCTTCAAATTTTGCACGAAGGTCAGTTTTGGTGCGTAGGGGTGTGATGAGGCTGTTTTTTTTGGAAATACGTACTAAAAGGGTAGGGTACTTACAATTGAATACTTTGTATTGGACAAACGGAATGAGGTAGAATTTTGGAATGGTAATCTCTGATGAAGTGCAGACTAGATGTACTAAAAGATTTTTGGAAATTCGAACATTAGGGTTCTGAAAAGTTTTAACATGGAACTATTTGGTATTATGCGAATGGATAGAATTTTTTTCTGACGAAGGAGCGGACAGTTGCTGGTGATATTATAGTATATTTTAGTTTAGCTTCTTCTATATTTTAGTTTAGCTTCTTTTACTTCTTCTAAATTTTCTAGGACAAACCCAATATAATCAACGTGTTGAGGATATTCGCCTGCTGAAACTGGAGATCGGCAATTTACAGACAGAACGTGAATGTCTTTCACGTGCGATCAAAAGTACCGCGGATATGCGTGAGGAAATTATACGTTTGCAACGTTCACTAAATCAGGAGCGAATACGTGTGCGTGCCTTGACCGAGGATGCTAAGACACCCACTGGGGTGCATCGTTGGCGCATTCTAAAGGGTGAAGATCCACCGAAATTCCAACTGTTGTCAAAGGTGCAAATGTTACAAAGGTTTGTAAATTCAATATCAACTCGCTTTGACATTCAAATATTTTGTTGCAATTCGATGAAGGCTCCAATCCTTCAGGATTGGGCAATAAGATAGACGTCAAGCGCTGTCTTAGTACATATATTTCGGAGAGAGGAAGTCATCATATCGGACATTAATTTCACATTTTAAGGGAGGATCTTTTTAATTTTTTTCTAACTCTAGTTTAATAAAAACTCTCGAATTGTTATCACGCTAGAGTCTAAGCGAACAAAGATAGAAACCTCAAATTTTGCACAGATCTGTCTATTGTCTGCAGGCCGGTCCAGTTTGAAGATGTACTATATCGGTCCATGATATTATATGACCCCCATATAACTGTACCTCCCGATACTCGGTAGCAGGTCCACGTCTTAGTATAGCCCCCATACAACGGTACCTCTCTTTATTCGGTATTTTGATGATGTTAGCGACATTATTCACCGGAGTTGTTTCAAATTTGGTATTAAAAGTTTGTAAAGGATATTAGAGCCTATGACTGAAAATTACTTATCCTGCGCCTCGTTTTGGTATAGCCTCCATATAAAAGTTTTCATTTGAGTGGTATTTTCAATTTACTGAACAAAATCAGGTCAATCGGCTTGAAAGACCCATATCTCCGGATCCGGGAAAGATAATATCACATATTGTAGTATTTTGGAAAGATTATAATGTCAGCCATAATGGGACCTTTTTCGAGTTTTGGGGAATTTAAAAAAAAAAATTTGGTCAAAAAAATAGATAATTTTTAATTAACACCCAAGCCGTTTCAGATAACCCCAAATAACACATGTGATCACTTGTTGGATAGGTATTTTCATTAACTATTTTGTCCATATCGTTTTAGTAGATCCGGTCTAACCCGGGTCCTGAAAACGAACATTCGGCTCAAACATCCGTTTATCCGGGTTCGTCCCCCAATAAAAAAATACTTTCATGGAATCTGGCTACAAATACCTATCCCCGGGAAAAGTATTACAAAAAAAAAACTAAACTAGAGTTAAGCCAAAAATTTGAGGGGAGGTACAAAAAAGGGTGAAAATTTATAATACTTAAACTATATCCAATACTTCCACCGCTCAATACTTTCCCAACATTTAAACATTTTGTGGGGAAGGGGTACCATTTCGGAACTTTTTATACCCATAGCCATATGGCAAAAGAGGGCATAATGATACGGCTAAAACGTGCCTCATCGAAATAAGGGTTTTAGACCCTAGGTCTCTTTGGACCAAATTTGTTTCAGAACATTTGAAGACGATTTAGTGATGTTCGTCCGTATACATATGTCAGCAAACTAATACTTTTTAAACTGTTTCATTTTAAAATTGGCATTTGATAATTTCCTCGGGGAATTGCTCAATTTTCGATTCTTTCCAGACGCATTTTAAAACAAGAAACTGAAAAAACCAATCTACAAAAACAGCTACAAGAATCTCAGAGAATGAGCGAATCATTAAAGAGAATTTTGGAGAACTTACCAACCACACAAGTCAAACAGAAGTTAGTCGAAACTCAGGTAGGTTGGAGGAGGCTATATTGGAAGTTTTTTTTATCCTCTTTTCCTCTTTCTTGCAAAGCGTATCAACAAGAAACAGCTGAAGAAATTAAAAGCTCTTAGCGCCGAACTGGCCATCGATGCGATTGAGTTGAAGGCCCGCGAATGTATTATCGAGGAATTTAAAACCACGTTGAAAATGACCAAAACTCAGATGTGCGTCACGGAGGACACCCTCAATTCGCTGTCAAGTTTGCTAGAGCCCACAGAATATTCGAGTCAAGAGAATTATGTTGACTGTGTTTTTACAACCACAGATCCTTCAGTACAAAATACCGATTCGAATAAATCAAATGAAAAATTGGAAGAGGTATGAAAAATCAAGGTGGTTTTTAATCTTAATATAATCATAATTTGTAATTTTTTAACAAAAAAAAAATTAAAAAATATTATGGCATAATAAAAAAGAATTGGAACTGTGATGAATTTAGCTTTAATTACAAATCAGTCGATTTTTAATTAATCCAACCTCAAATACCATTTGGATGTTTCAGAGAGGGCGTAAAGTTTGTCTGCAGATGCGGTGGGGCCGACATACATTGCATTTGCATCTGCATTATGGTTTGCCGTTCCTGTAACAGCTTTTCTTTGCTTTTCCTTTCGTTGAGTAGTTGATTTTTTACTTTCGTCAAATCGTTTTTCAATTCTTCCAATTCCACAATATGCGATTTCTCTTCAATACTTTTTACGGAAATTTCAGCTTTCAGAGCTTTCAATTTACGCGTTTTGAGCGACAATGCAGACTGTGGAAAATAATCATTCATTAGGATTCGAATTTGACCGAGTCTTCAAATATCAACTTACCTTGACTTCATTTAATTCCTCCTTGATTTTAATGCTGGGCAGCTTGACAATGAACTCTTTTAGGGTACTATAGAGCCTTTGTGACTCCTTTAATGCTCGTTCCTGCTCTAAATTTGTTACGTTGTAGTGTAAAAGTTGTCTGAAAACAAGAATAAAATTTGTGATGCTCAGATACTCAGTTTGGCTATGGGAACTCAAAAAGCGATTGGAACCCGATTGGAAACGCAAAGAATATTCCATGTATTATATACAATTCGCTTGAAATCAAGAATGTTGTACTTTAAGATTCTATTTGCCCTTTAAGAGTAAACTCATACTGTATTTGAGCATTTTTTTACTCTCGCCATTAATATTCAAACAGGATTACCCGCGATCGCTCCCACATGAAACAAGAGAGTGGAGAGTAAACTTTTTGCAAAAATAGCACACTTCGGGCACTTCCGCTCGTTAGTATTTTTCACTGCGAGTAAAATTGACCAGAAAATAGCAATCCTGAAATTGAAATTAATTTTGTATTTGGAATTAATTTCCGAATTCATCAAAAGCTGTGGTCGAAATGGCCGCGAGATGAAATCTTATTCGAAATACTAATTTGTCCTCCGCTATGTTAAGGTGTAGATACATAAAAGACTTTTTTACGGGCTTGAGTCATCCGCTGGCTTCTCGATAATAGAATATTGTATGCTGACTTTGGTCCATAATTTAAATTTGTTCACCCTGTTCTTTTACAAAGAAGCAAGTCGATGAATTAAGCCATTAAGAAAAGCCCCAATTGTATCTGCTCTCTCGGATTATCCGCACTTTCCGACGTTTTTGAACAATTTAACTGTTTGTCATAATTTAATTTTGAAACGTTTTAGTTGTTTCAGTCATTTTTTAGAAAAGTTCATTTAGCAACATTTTGGCGACCAACGCTCTGTTTGCAAGTTTGTTCAGTGAGTTCAGAATACAGAGCAAAGCACAGATGAAGGCGCAATCAAACCTTTGGCGCCTAACTTACGCTGGTAGCAATGATATCTCTGTTGCAACTAACTTCACCAATATATTGGCGCCCAACGAACGGCAGGCGCCAATGACATTTCTGCTGCAAGTTTGGTGTTAACTCCGATATTGTTGTTGTAGAAGTAACATATTTTGGGGATTATGGAATGTTAATCAGTTCAATCAGTCGGATACTCCTATGAGCTGTAGCCAAAGATCCTCTCAAGTGAGTTTGGTTGGGCAATAAAAAAAATATTACTGCAGGCATTGTAACGAAACCATATAGTTATGCTGGCGTAAGGGAAGAACAACTGGAGTTATGATGAGGCACCCTGTTGCAGTTCTCAGTCCGGCATTCTGGCAGGCCTTACTACTTCTCCATTGTGTTGCATTCGTATCCGCAAACCACACTCATATCTTACCATACACCAACCTATCGCTTTATAAGAGGTCATGAAGGTTTCCTTATCCGCTATGCCCGGAACGACTTGAATATGCAATTAAATGTGACACAAGGAATTTAGCACCTTCAGCTGTATTCTCATCTTTGCAGTCCTGTTGTAAATAGTGTTGATTTGGTGGCGGATATTTTCATATTCCACGCATTGAAGAATGCCGCAAGGTCCGCGAGATAGGTTTTCACCTTGGCACATATGTCATTAACGACAGGACCCAATGCCATTATCGTACAGTCATCCGAATAGGTTACAATCTCAATGCCGTCTGGAGGAGGTGCGAAATTCCGGGAAGATAGAGATTTCTCTCTACGAGGCTTATTCCGGAAATCTACATACGACTGGCGTCCACACATTTATATGTTGACTATCCAATGTTTCGAACTCTGCCGGAAGGTGTGTCATCGTGGCATGATTAATAGTATCAAAGGCCTTTGATAAGTCGAGAGCAACCACTACTGTTCTATGGCACGGCCTATTCTAGTTGTGTCCTCGATTAATATGAGTGGACATGGCGTGTGGCACTGTGTGGCGGACGGAAACCGTGTTGATGGTTGGTAACTGGATAACATCATCTGATGCTGGCGAGGAGTAAATCTCAAGAGCCTTTGCTACTGGCAAATTGGCCTGTACAATTTGCCTTTGCTGGCATCCTTGCCTGGCGTTAGTAGCGGGACCACCCTGCCCATTTTCCAGGCTTTGGCAACTATGTAGGTGGCTAACGACAGGTTGAGGACCTTAGTAAGATATTCGACTCACGGTATATCCAGGTGTTTCAACATTACCCGACGCATTTGGTGACTTAGCGATTCGGATTCATAATTTCACCAATCGTAAACTTCGCTTCGACCTATCACTCTCAGGCTGGTCGTGAATTGGCGATTAATTACGTTGTTAAAAGTGTTCACTAACTTCGGGATCAGTAGGTTTGGCATGCCGGAGTTCATTATGCTCGTTCGCTAGTCTCGCTGTCTCTATTGGGAAATTAGGTCTTATTTGGGATATAAGATAATGTCGCGGAAAATCCTTTGTGCTACCCGAACATCACATGGTTGGGCGGTTTACGGTTTACAGTGATCTTTCCTATGGTTAAGGAATATGCGGCGTCCAGAGGTTATTATATGGGGCGATCCGCTTATGAAAACATTTAGCGGGATATGGTCTGCCCAAGAGAAATGATGGGTTGCCACGCTACATCAATTATCTGGAAGAGTGACACTATGGTTATGTCTGGTTGGGGGCATCCTTGATTACCGTGCAAAATGTGAAGCAGTCAATCTGCTAGCGCCAGGTGAATTCGATATTAAGGAGCATTGATGTAGTCGCAATTGTTGCATACGACCATCACCAGCAAATTGGCGCCCAACGTACGGCATCTAACAAATATATCTCTATTGCCAATTGTTTGGTGAATTCGCTATCTATAGGTAGAAGAATCCGTACGCTGGCATCAATGATATCTCTGTTACAAATTCCTTTGCCAATATGTTGGCGCCCAACGTAGGGCAGGCAGCAAAGAAATCTCTTTTTCAAATTCGGTTAGTGAATTCTATATTAGAGAGCATTGATGAAGTCGCAATCGAAGCATACCTTCCTTTACCAGCATGTTGGCGCCCAACATACGACAATTTAATAGACAGATATAATAATAGACATAGAATGTTACTGCAAACTTGAACTGTTTAAAATACCCCCAAACAAAAATCAGAATTATTTGACTTTTCACAAATTTCTGTTCTATAACAAAAAAATTAAAAACTCAATTTTCTCTTACCGCCTCAAAAACTGTATCTTTTGTATCAAATCACACTTGTGCGGATCTTTGCCCTTCAAATTGCGCCATCGGTGGACATTCATGGGTGTCATCATTTCTTCCTGCAAAGCTCGGGCCTTGACCCGTTGCTGATTGAACACCCGATGCATTTGCAACAATTCATGCCTTAAATTCGCCGCACTTTCACGATCTTTACGCAAGACATTGCGTTCGGTAAGTAAATTCTTAATCTCCACTCTCATCAGTTTCATATCATCGCAATTTTTGGAAAATTCCGATTGCAATATATCATGACTTCGTTGTAAATTTTCAAATTCTGTTTTTAAATCCGTGAATTGTTCCTCTTTGCGTGTCAGAGTGGCGCATATGGAATTCTTCTCATCGATCATATTGTCCAAATCTCGCTGGAGCCGTGTTAGCTTCTTCACTTCCTCTTGTTGAGATTTCAGGAATTTATCATTTTCTTTTTTCTTTTCGTACAGCTCGGCCCGGGTATGTTGATGATTCAGCTGGGAGGTGCGCAGTTCGTTTTTCAGTAAACGTCGTTCCTTTTCCATTTTATCAATTTGCAATTGGAGCTTGCCGATTTCACTATCGCGGTAGGATACCTTACCCTTCAGCGCCTCAATTGTGTTTTGTAGATTTTCAATATTGTTACGCAGCTTGGATTTTTCCTCATTTAGATTTTGTATCAAACGCAAATTGGAGTTATTTTCATTGACCAGAACATCGTGTTGGGCTTTCATACGGGAATATTGGGCCTCGGCATCACTGACGGTCCGTTTCAATTCCAGTTCGTAGGATTCCTTTAAATGGATTTTATCTGAAAACAGTTATTGCGATTTTTTTTGTTTTGAATTTATTTCAATCTCATTTCATGACTTACTTTGCAATGTATCCATTTTATCGAGCAGACTTTGTATTTCATCGGTCTTTTTGGATTTTTCATTATTCAGGATGATAATCTCTTCGTTGAGCTTTTTATTTTTCCTCTCTTGCAGTAGCAGAGAGTCTTTGAGTGCTCGAATTTCATGTTGGGTCTCTTGCACCGTTTGCTGAGACTCTTCAGCGGTTTTGTGTTCAGCCAACAAATCTATCTTGAGCGTATCTCTTTCCTTCGTCAAATTATTGTTGTTTCTTTCGAATTGTTGGACGAGTCTTCGCAAAGCTTCAAACTCCTTATCCTGGGTATTGAATTGCGTTCTAAAGAGAAAATTAAAAAGTTAAATAGTATCAGTGGGTGTTGCCGACAGATGTATACCCCTAGCCTTGAGTTTTATTTTCCAAAGTCTTGAACACTATGTGTGGGAGGTACCATAAGAAATGGTCCGATCTCTACCATATTTATAACAGATCTTGTGTTGATGGAAATATTGAGATGTACCAAGTCTGAATGGAATGGGATATTAATTTCCCCTTTTATGAGCTTCATGGTTGCTCAAAATTTTGGGGGAAGGTACCAGATGGAGTGGATCGATATATTCCATCTTCACACCAAACCTTGGGTTAATAAATGTATTGATAAGTATGTAATTTGAAGTGAACCGGATGCTTATTTCGGATTTTATGATCGTTTTGGTTATTTAAAACTTTGACCCTTTGCGCGGGTGGTACCGGATTTATAACAGATTGTTTATGGAAATATTGAGATGTGCGAAGTCTGAATGATATTGGTTCTTAATATTGCATTTTATGAACTTCATGAATATTCAAAATTTTGACCCCTTGTGGGGGAGGTACCAGAAGGAGTGGACCGATATATCCCATCTTCACAGCAGACCTTGGGTTAATAAAAATATTGTGATGTGTGTAATTTGCAGAGAACCGGATGCTTCTTTTGGATTTTATGATCGTTTTGGTAATTCAAAACGTCGACCCTTTGTGGGGGAGGTACCAGAAGGAAGGTCCGATCTCTACCATCTTTATAACAGATTTTGTGTTTATGGAAATATTAATATGTGCAAAGTCTGAATGATATCGGGCGTTAATTTTGCATTTTATGAACTTCATGAATATTCAAAATTTTGACCCTTTGTGGGGGATGTACCAGAAGGAATGCATCGACATATTTCATCTTCACAACAGGCCTTGGGTTAATAAAACAATTGTAATGTGTGTAATTTGAAGACAATAGGACTTTTGCATAACATTTGTTAAGAGTTGTAATTATTGAAAATTTTGACCCTTTATGGGAGAGGTACTTGATTGAGTGGACCATTTTCGCGTCTTATCCTTTCGCACCTTATTTTCGAATTATCCTTTCCCTTTCTGTGCAGTAATTTATTTTTGTTTTTAATTTGGACCTTTTGTTGGTACCAGAAGGAGTGAACCGATATTGCCCATCTCCGAACTCAATCATAGTTTGACAATAATATTACGATGTACTAAGTTTGGATCAAATCGGATACTTCCTTCGAGAGTTATTGTGCGTTCTAGCCAGCAAGACAGACGGATGGACGGACATCGCTACATCGACTCCGAATGTCTTGAAACGGAGTTGGTCCAAGGAGGCCTAGGATCTAAAATCGTTATTTCGATGAGGCACGTTTTGGCCGTATAAAGTGATACATATCCTCTGGCTGAGGGTATAACTAGCCATATGACTGAGGATATAAAAATATGAATAGAATTATAAATATCAGTTCTGAAATTTTTTTGGATTGCCTTTAAAGAAAATTATAAAATTTAGTTCAATTAAGTACTTTCCGAACAACTGTACATAGTGCGCATTTCCAAACCCACCTCCAAATCTTAACCTCAGATATCAACAGTGACAAATTTTAGGCTGTTTAATTTCTACCATTACCGAATTTGGTACCATTTAGTACTTTTCGTACAAATAAAGGGTACATCCCAAATCTCTATAAGCTAAATATCAAATTTCGGAATTTTATCTCCATCCAGTTAACCCATATCAAATATAATACGATTCCGTACTTTTCGCACAATTATTGTACAGATTTCCAAAACCACTTTCATATGTTCAGGCTACACATGAACAGCGACCCTTATTGCGAAATTCAGAATTCAAGGGCTCAATTCCAATTGTACCGAATATAGTACAATTTAGTACTTTTTATGCACTTGTAGTACACATTACCAAAAGGACCCCTTTACAAAAAACTAAGCACCAACAGGGACCCCAATACAAAATTTCAAAATTCCAGTTTCATCCGTTCATTCTAATCAAAACTGTTTCAGATTTAGTACCATTTAGTACAGTTCGTACACTTAGTATACGTTTTCAAAACCACCTTCATACATCACACTTATTTTCCAACTTTTATTCAACCAAATTTCAAGTTTTTAACTCTATCCTTTCACATAACACCAAATCGTACCATTTTCGAAGTTTAGTACCATTTTAGAACTTTTTGTAACATTGAATTTCAAATTTCCACAAACCCTGTGGTACAAATATCCGGCACTCCATCAGTGACTCTCATTTGAAATTTCAGAATTATACATCAATCCGTTTGCTCAATACAAAGTATTCAATTTTTAGTACATTCTAGTACTTTTCGTAACATTTAAGTACGGCCAGAAAAAAATCAAGATTCTTGCTTCGGCGTCTGGGCGTTGATTCTCACTTGGTTAGTTTTTTCACTACTCTCTTAAATCCTAAGGAATTATGTTTTGCCTTCACGGCCCTCGAGCCATGACTGTGGAAGAGGTTTTCTGTCTATGGGATATCCTTTAATGGAACCTTTATAATCTATATTAAATACTCTCTAAACTTGATCAAATCAATTAGAGTCTTTTGTTCGTGAAGAACTCCTTACGTCTATAGACGATATTGTCATGAGAACCTTAAAAGCGTTTTTTAGCCTTGGAAAAATTTTCAAGTTCTTTACATTCTCTTATACCTACTTCAGTCTTAGGTTTTCATCTTCCAGTTCCTTTCGTGATTCCTCCAAGGTGCAATATTTCCTTGAAGCATTGTCTTGCAGTTTTGCCAGTTTTGCATTCTCCTGCTTCCACTTGATTATCTCATCTTCCCGTATCTGCCAGAGAATAAGTTAATATCATTCAGCTTTTCTGTTACATTTCGAATTTGAGTTTTACCTTTAGCAGATTGGTCTTTTGTGCCAAATCCCGTTTGTTTTTATCCCTCTCCTGTATGGCATACTCCAAGTCCACCGTAATTTTGGCCAATTTATTACAGGTCACATTGTGTTGAGTATTCAAATGTTCCAAATTCGTTTTCAGCGATAGAATTTGAAGATTTTGCCGTACCTTCATTTTGGTGAGTTTTTCTAGTTGCAGTTTGGACATGGCAATTTGTTCGGTGTATTTCAATTCATCGGTTTTCATTTGGCTTAGATCTTTGGTGAGAGCGTCGATGCGTTTTTTGCTATTGAAGGCTTCCGTTGAAGTTTCCTTGGTTGAGAGAGGGAGAGATAAGATTACGATTAAGATAACGATTAAATCAGTCGTATATACGAGTATCCATTGGTTTCGCTGTCCAAAACAAGAGATCATTTAGAGAAAAGAAAATTCTATTTTTCTTTATATTTAACCAGCAGAGCCAAAAATCGTATTCGAGCAAATTAGTGGCAAGAGAGAACATTTAAGAGAATATTAATATTCTGTTTTCCTTTGTATTCTAAGATATATTTCAATTGTTTAAAAAAAAAAAATAAAACGATAATGAAGCAAATAATAAAACTGACGAGAGCTCTTGTTCTTGAACAGCCCTGGATGAAATCAAAAAATTGTAGTAATGTACCAGCAGGGACTAACAAAGTTATATATTTTGAAACCTTTTTTTCGGAATCCAACAAAAGTCCAAAAACAAGTATCAATCGGTTTTGCCGACAGATGTATACCCTCAGCGAATGTTCGATTATTTAAATATATTCTGACTTATGTTATGATTATTCAAGTTTTTCACACTCTATGGAGCAGGCTCCAAAGGAATGGGCAAATATTGTTTATTTCGTATCGGACCCAAATAAATATGATATAAATATAGCGGCATGTCAGGTTTGGGTTATATTGATTACTTCTTTCGCTTTATGTGAGATATGGGATCATATTTACAAAATGTTAAAATATACGTGAGGCACCAGATATAGTCGACCAAGGTGTGAAATTTAAAGAGAGTTTTTTAAAATCTTGAGCCCTATCGAGGAGAGGTAATAGAAGAAATGATCTGATCTCTACCATCTTTACAACAGATCTTGTGTTGATGGAAATATTGAGACTTGCCAAGTCTGAATGGAATTGGATGTTAATTTCTCATGGATACTGAAATTATTGACCCTTTTGCAGAGAGGTACCATCTTCACATCAGATCTTGTGTTAGTAGAAATAATGGGATGAGTAAGATATGAATATAACCGGATGCTTATTTCGGATTTTGTGATCTTTTGGGTGTTTAAAATTTTTACCCTTTGTGAGGGAGGTACCAGGACGAATAGTCCGACCTCTACCATCTTAATAACATATCTTGTGCTGATGGAAATATTGAGATTTGCCAAGTCCGAATGGAATCGGATGTTAACTTCGTGTTTTATGAGCTTTATGAATATTCAAAATTTTGACCCCTTATGGGGGAGGTACCAGAAGGAGTGGACCGATGTATCCCATGTTCACACCATACCTTTGGTTAATAAAAATATTGTGATATGTGTGCTTTTAAGAGAACCGGATGCTTATTTCGAATTTTATGATCGTTTTTGTAATTCAAAATTTTGACCCTTTGTGGGGGATGTACCAGGAGGAATGTTCCGATCTCTACCATCTTTATAACAGATCTTGTGTTGATGGAGGCATTGAGATGTGCCAAATCTGAATGGAATTGGATGTTAATTATGCGCTTCATGAATAGTCAAAATTTTGACCCTTTGTGGGGGAGGTACCAGAAGGAGTGAACCGGTGTATCCCATGTTCACACCAGACCTTGGCTTAATAAAAATATTGTGATGTGTGTAATTTGAAGAGAACCGGATGCTTATTTTGGATTTTTTGATAGTTTTTGTTATTCAAAACTTAGACGCTTTGTGGGGAGGTACCAGAACGAATGGTTCGATCTCTACCATCCTAATAACAGATCTTGCGTTTAATGAAATATTGACATGAGCCAAGCCTGAATGAAATCCGATGTAAATTTCGTGTTTTATGAGCTTCATGGATATTCAAAATTTTGACCCTTTGTGGTGGAGGTACCAGAAGGATTGAACCGATATATTCCATATTCACACCAGACCTTGGGTTAATAAATATAATTCGCATTCTCACATCACATTTTAAAAATTATTATAGTTAAAATTATTCAAAATGTTGGCCCTTTGTGGGGGAGGTACTAGGTGGAGTAGACCGATATTGTCCATTTTCGCAACTGACCTAGCACTAATGCAAATATTAGAATTTTCAAAGTTGGAGCAAAATCGGATCACCCTTCTCTTTCTGTGCAGAAAATATATTTTTTGAAAATTTCGACTTTTTGTGGGGGAGGTACCAGAAGAAGTGGACCGATATTGCCCATCTTATACATTTGATAATAATATTACGATGCACCAAGTTTAGAGCAAATCGGATACTCCTTTCGAGAGTTGTCGTGCGCACCAGACAGACAGACGGACGGCCGAACGGACAACTCCAGATCGACTCCAAATGTCCTGAAACGGATTTGGTGCAAAGAGACCTTGGTTCGAAAACCGTTCCGATGAGGCACGTTTTGACCCCATCAAATGATATATACCCTCTCTATCCACAAGGCTGAGGGTATAAAAATGACTAAAAGTAGGTAATTTTGAAGCGGGACTAAAGACCTCCACTTTGCGTACTTCCTTGTGCCTGGTGTAATGTTCATACTTACATCCAAAACCTTTATCAAGTTCTTGTTTTTCTCCTCCAATGTATGATTCAATGCCTCCAATTCGGTGGTGTAATTTCGTTGCATTTGCAAACGTTTGTTGAGATCTTTTATTTCGCCCTTCAGATTTTCCTTCTCCTTGTTGTCGTCACGGCGGCTGCAGTCAATTAAAATAAATGTTCATTACAATTTAGCTAGTCTTAGAAAAGCGTTACATACTGTTTCAAATTGGCCCTGGTATCGCTTAGATTTTTAATAGTTTCCGCTTGATCATCGACGATTTCCTTTAGTTTAGTCAGCTCATCTTGGGCTGTTTGTTCACGCAGCAAAGCGGCATCCTTTTGGCGCCAGGCACTTTCTGGAAAAAATGCCCAAAATAGTTACTCAAATTTTACATCATCTCCAACACTTACCAATAACCTCTCTCAATTGGGCTATGGTCTCCTGATCTAGTTCAGACATCTTACGTGCATCATCTAGCTGGCCATTCAACCGTTTGACCTCATCTTCCAGATCTTGACATTTCGTTTGTTCGAGAAACCAATTGCATTTGTAGCGATTGCTACAAATCAAGAGACGCTGAACATTATCGGCATTGTCTTGGGTGTCCTTTTGCCGCAATGCCTTGGTGGCCTGGTAAAGGAACGATTTGTGGAAATAAAAAAATATTTGAATAAAACCACCAATCAGGTTTTAAAATCTAATACTGGGGCAACGGGGAAAAATTATTTGATTTTGTTACTTGCAACCTAAAGGGGTGGGTACATAAGCAGCTAGAAGTCTTCGCATGGCATATTTTGTGACATATCATAAAGGTATGCCAGAGCCACTCTCGAATCCTTCCGTCATTTTTCTTGATAATTTCACATAAATATGCCTAGCCATGATGCCAAGCTGCTTTTGTACCAACACCTTAACATACATAAATTCTAAAAACTTATTACCTCGGGAATCTTACTAAGTAAATCTTTATAGAATTGATCATCGAATTCATCCGGCACTAGAGGTTCTTCCGAACCAGAACCTTTTTCACTTGCCATATTTCAATACTAAAATTTCATTTAGGGAAAATTCTTCACCATTCAACAACACCTCTAACTTACTTATGGCCCAGTCTCAAGGAAATGTTTCATTTTCTTGACTATGTTGTTATCGAACCGATTTGTTGTCACATCAAACAATTTACCAAAGCAACCAAACCAACCAACCAACCATCCAGCCAACTAACAAACCAAACAAACTACAAAAGACGGCGCCAAATCCATTGAGGAAATATTTGTAGTAGTTATTGCAAAGAGAGTCGGAGAAAGTGAGAATATTATAGAAATAGTGAGAGAAAGAAGAGACAAGTATTTCAGAGTTATGATGTAGGAAAGACCTGGGATTGATGTTATAACATTATAGTGTCATGGTAGGCTTATAATATCGCTATACCCTTCACAATTGGAGGGTAGATTAAATTTGTCATATCGTTTGCACCACCTCGGAATACTCATTGGAGACCTATAAATCTAAATTAACTAATTTTCTTACTTAATGATTCATCAACGCCCAGACGAAACGGCTGAAGTTAGAATCTTAAAATTTTGGGTAAAGATTACTCTTGGTCCAAAGGTGTCAAATAAAGCTGGGTATTTGGAAATTCGTAATAGAAAGGTACGAAAAGTGCTAAAAGGGACTAAATATGGTACCATTTGTATATGACGACACAATAGAGCTAGAACTTAAATTTGAAATATAGGGTCACTTATGGAATGTTTGATGAATGTACCAAACGGTTTTTGGAAATTCACACTATAACTGTACGAAAAGTACAAAAATGTACTATTTTTGGTACCCTTTCGTATCATGTGAACATTAGGGTTAAAAACTTGAAATTTGGAATGGGAATCAAGGTTTGGGAGTAGGGTGTAGTAGTATGTACTCATGTAGTAGTATGTACTCATGTATACGAAAAGTACTAAACGGTACAAACTTTGGTACAATTCGAATTTGGAGGAACGGATTGAGCTGAAATCGTAAAATTTTAAATTAACATTGCTGGCGGAGGACAGGATTGGGATATGGAGGTAGTTTTGGAAAATCCGTAATTATGTGCATGAAAAGTACTCAATGATACTAAATTTGGTACAATTCTGATCTGGCTTAACCAATAGAGCTGAAATGCTGAAATTTTGAAATAAGATGCATTGTAGGATTGCGGTATATAGGTAACTTTGGTAATTCGTAATTATGCCTACTAAATAGTACTAAATTTGGTACAAATTAAATTTTGGGAGAACCGATAAAGTTGGTATCTTGAAATTTGGAAATAAGATTACTTAAGCATTGTAGAATTGGGGTACGTAGGCAGTTATGGAAATTCGTACAATTTAAATGTTGACAGAACTGGTAGAGTTGGAATCCTGAAATTTGAAAATAATGTTTCTATTGGATTGTATAATGTAGGTAGTTATGACAATTTTTACTTATGTGTACTAAATGGTACTAAATTTGGTACAATTTCGATTTGGGCGAACCAAAAGATCTGGTAGGATTGAGGTATGGAGATACTTTTGTGCATTTGGAGTGTAGGATTGTGGGATGTAGGAACTTTTGAAAATGCGTACTTATGTGCACTAAATTCGGTACAATTTGGATTAGAGTGAACCGATAGAGCGGAAGAGATAGTACTTCAAATCTGGAATTTGGTATTGTGGTCGCTGTGCATGTGTAGCTTGGACATATGCAGGTTGTTTTGGAAATGTGTACTATACAAGTTGTACGAAAAGTTCTGAGTGGTACTATATTTGGTGTTGGGTGAAGGGATAGCGAAAGCGATTCTGAGATTTGATACTTAGATTACTAATTGTATCTACGTATGAGATTTGGTGCTTGTTTGGAAATGCATCCTGAATTTGTACGAAAAGTACCAAATGGTACCATATTGGGTATTGGGTGAATAGATACGGTTGGAATCCTCAACTTTGATATGGCGGTCTCTGTTGGTATGTGGGATTGAGATATGGTGATGCTTTTGGAAATGTCTACTATTGTTGTTCGAAAAGTACGAAGTGATACGAAATTGGGTAAGGGAGGGAGAGCTGGAATCCTGAATTTGATATCGGGGTCTTTTTTAGTATCTGGGATTGGATTCGGAAATGTGTACTATTATTGAAGGAAAAGCACTGAATACTACTAAATTTGATATTGAGGTCTCTGTTAATATCTGGCGATGGTTTTGCAAACTTTGTTCGAAATGCTAGTAAATTTTGTATTGGTTGTAGGCATAGAGTAAAATTCTGAAATTTGATATTTAGATTACTGATTATATCTGTGTTTGCGATTTGGCGGTGGTTACGGAAACTCATGCTGTATTTGTACGAAAAGTACTAAATGGTACTAAATTGGGTATTGGGTGAATAGATATGATTGGAATCCTCAACTTTTGGTATGTGAATTTGGAATATTGTGATGCTATTGGAAATGTGTACTATTATTGTTCGAAAAGTACTAAGTGGTTCGAAATTAGGTGAGGGGATAGAGCTAGAATCCTGAAATTTAATATTGAGGTCTTTGTTAATATCTGGGATACTACTAAATTTTACATTGATGTCTCTGTTGCGGTGGTTTTGCAAAACTTTGTTTGAAACAACAGTAAATTTGCTATTGGTTGAAGGGATAGAGATAAAATTCTGAAATTTGATGTTTAGATTAATGATGGTATTTGCGTTTTTAGAGTTAGAGGGGGTTTTTGAAATGTGTACTATTATTGTTCGAAAAGTATTAAGTATTATTGTTGAGTGGAAGGATAGAGGATAGAGTGAAGAGATGGAACTGAAACCGTGACATTTTATATTGCGATAACTGTTGGTGTCTTGGATTGAGATATGGAATGGTTTTGCAAATTAGTTCTAATTTTTTTTTAATTAATGATTCTATGCCGAATGTAGGGTATTTCAAAATGCCATAATAGCACGTAATGTGGACACGTTCCAATGCATTTGTAGTTAGGCGTTCGTTACCCATAATTTGAGTCCACAACAAATGCAATTTCTTTCTCCACCACACATTTCCTTTCTCGTACTCTCTCCAACACACTCTCTCTCTTTAATTTCTCTCCAACTTCATTTAATGCTAATGTACTCTGGCAATTTGTTGTTAATAACTTACTAAACACATTTTGTTGTGGTTGTTGTTATTATGTATTATGCAGAGTTAATGTTGTTATTGCATTTCCCCCGAAAAGAAAAAACATCTACTCTATTACTTCTCCATCTTTCTTTTGTGCCGGTTTTCTTTGTTGATGTTCGATGTGTTCATGACGACGAAACTCTTTCATGCTCGAATTGTTGTTATTCAACGAACGTGTGGGGGAGTGTGTGGGGGGGAGGGATTTTGTGTTATCTATTATGAGCGCACTTGGAGACTTGGAGCAATTGTTGCTTCTCTTGTTGGCGTTGTTGCTGTTGTTGTTTTTGTTGCATTTCGAGTAACAGTTTCCATTTCACTTGGCCATTTCATTCGTCGAATATTTGGCTTAAGACCACTTTTACGACGACCAGCACTTTCAGTTTCATTTTCAATTTCATGGTTTGTCGTTTGGTATTTGTTTGATCGTTCCCTCAATCTTCAATATTCTACGTGTGGTTGTTGTTCGCGCGGGTTTATGATTTGATTTCATTGTAACAATTTCTTTTTTTCTTCAAATCCAAATAAATAATATTGTGACAGAGTCCCAAATGATATTGAAAAAACTATCAAATCAATGAAATTTCAGTTAATAAAAAAATTACGAATGCAACAACAAATCAGTGTTAATTTCATTTGACCAGTTTAGGGTCATGTCACTCCAATAAGATATCGGTAACTTACCCGAAATAGTGAGTTTTGTTGTGTTCAATTACTCAGCAAAATTTGTGGAAATCACAAAAATTATTAGAAAGAAAAGAAAAACCAAACAAAAAGTCAAAAATTACTTAATTTGAAAACTCCCAAAGAAATTATGGCTCCCTTGAAAATTGTCATTGCCTCCGCCATCCATCTGCCATCTTCGGCAACGCTGTCATTGTCTGGCTCAACAACAGCGTCATCAGCGTCGTCAGCATTGGCCAGACCCCAACAAACCGTTTTGGATATTGAGAAAATTAAACGCCATTTTAGCTGGTCCGATTGTGAGACAATGTAAGTTGATTGAACTTTTTTTCCTCATTCGTTTCGTTTCTACCACTTTTACGACTAATAAGCTCCTTCGTTCGTTTGCACATGCACATGAGTTGGTGCATTCATTGAACAATGATGTGCAATATAAAATTGTATTTAAAAATGTTCAATATTCAAATAACAAATGAGTATTTTGTATGAAATTTATTAAATATTTATGGATTGTTTGAAATGCTCTCTGTTGTGTAGCAAGTCTGCAAATACTAGCCAGTAAATATGCGCCCCTTTCAGCACAATTGATAATGGCAACCACATACCCTCCGAATTACCAGGATACTGGTAATTATTATTAATATAATGAATTATTCCTAAAAATTTTATGAGGCTAAATAATTTACTTGTAAAATATCGAAAGTATTGACCAAAAATGAATGTTCTGAAGCAGTTGGCCAATATTGAAAAATTCGTATCTGACCTGAGACTGATAAAAATATTACAACGTTCCAAATTTGGACCATATCGACTACTACCTATATTTTATATAAGATGTGTGCAATTTTTTGGAAACTGTGGAAATATACGTGAGGTAACAGATATAGCGGACCATTTTAATACTTGATCTGATACAGATAAAAATATTTGTATGTGCAAAATCTGAAGGAAATCGAACATTTATTTCCAATTTTATACAAAATCATAAATTCCGATTTAAGAGAATCGCCGACATATTTCGTAAGTTGTGACAGATATAATATAGGAGGGGTTCACAGTTATATATCACCTTCACAACAGATATTGTGTTGGCAAAACTGTTTTTATGTGTGAAATTTAGAAGATCTTGTGTTGATGGAAATATTGAGATGTATCAAGTCTGAATGGAAACCGAATCTGAATGTTTTATTTTTTTTCGAACGTTCCCACGCCCCACATTCCCACCCCTGCCGACCGAGGAGGCGACCTCCCTTTACGAAGGGATCGCGTACACATCATGTTCCGCATCATAATGGGAATTTAGTAGGAAATTGAAAACCAGATACAGAACCT